ATTCCTGCTCTCAGAGCATTCGTGTCTCTAGTGAGTTGAAAATAGCAGGCTATCCAGGCTGTACCAAATCAGGTGCAGCAGCAGCAGTGAGTCCAATCCTCGAGTTCTAGTGGCAGCACCAAGCTTTAGCTGTTCCAATCATAGCATCTGAACTGCATTTCCAATTGGTTTCTCTCAGCTTAGTTCGTTCCTGGGTCAGCAGGGCATATGTCCCTCTGCTTAGGACTCCCCACACCACATCATTCCTAGAATCTAAGCTGGCTATCTCAGAGAGCCTCTGTAGCTGTTGTTATCTATCCACCATCTTTTCTTGATCTTCCTCTTTGAGGCTCTTCTAAACAAATATTGGAGGTAGCCTAATCTGGAGCTCATCTGTGTCTACCATGAGCATCTCTTGCTATCACCTTGTAAGATGGAAGTGCTATCATGTGAGAAATACAGTAATTCCTGATACACTCTTTTCTTACTTGTTTCACTAAAATTTTTGCTAAGTATTTCATAATGAATTGAATCATTCACAATGGTGTCAGTCCGCAATTATGTTTTTCATAATTCAAGCAGTACGGTTTGGTCAGATCTGGCAGCTGCTTTATTCCAGTGATCAGCCCTGGGATGGACTGTGCAGATCTGCTTTATGCATTGTGGCACATGTTTGCAGGGAAATAACCATTGTGCCCTTTCAACTTTAGGCGCCTCCAGAGGAGTTCCTGGGATTCCACGAGATACAAGTTCTTTCTGTCCAAAGCGTGGATCCAGGACCAGAATTTCCAGAGTCACCTATGCAGTGTTGGTGACAGAGTCTCAGGTCCTACCTTCCCTTCTGAATCAGAATCTGATTTAAAATGATCCCCCAGAGGTATGACACACAATGGTGTGAGGTGCACTTCCAGCTGTGAGATACTCCTGTCTGTCTGGGGAGTAAGGGTGAATAGGTAACAAAGTTCCATGCCAGGTAACTGATGACCTGGTCACTGAGGACCTCCAGGTTCCAGCAAGAAGGCATCCGGAAGCTCGGGAGGACACAGACTCAATAAAGAGAGGTTCTTACCACAGGTGCAGCTCCCAGGAGGGAGTGCAAGGGGTGCCAATAGGTGAGAACGAGCTCCTGCTCCTTGAATGTGCACGTTCTGCAGGGGAAGTCACTGTTTGCACCTATGACTGGACTGCTGCTGGATACAGCCGGCCTGTAAGTGCCTGGAATTTTATACTTCACAGAGCAACTGAGCTAACCATAAATGTGATCCCTGATACCTGCCCACCAGTTCCACAGTCAGAGACGGTCTGATTTAGCTCTGTCTGGGGAAGTTCACGCCTGAGTGTGGTGACTCATTGTCACTGAACTGCAGTGCCTCAAGGGGAATTTGTGGTTTCAGAGATTTCAGCTGTTTGCTGCTTCCCAGTTCCCAGCATTTGGATTTTTAGAATTGTGCCTGGAAATGTTTAAATGTTGGATGCTTTGAAACTAGGAATGACCTCTTAGGGAAAGATAGAGCCCCTATCAAAATGTAACTTATTATCTGTCCTAATATTTCAGGTCTTTCATGGTTGGTCCTATCTAAAAACCAGATTTAGTACTATGGAATATAGAGCATGATTTGTAGGAATGTCTGAATTAGGTGGTGAAATTTTGGGCAGAGCATATTTTGAAGACTCTCAACTAGTCATTGTACATTGTCATTCTTTGTTTAAAAAAAGTACAGAGATTATTAAAGTTTTCTTCATACTTGCATTTGTAAATATGGAAATTGACTAATTCACACTATAGTGTGATAGTGAAAGTGTAAATTTGATAGGGTGTTGTTTTGGTTATTTTTCTCTCATTACTGGGACAAAATTTTCAATGCCCAATCCAATAAAAAAATAAAGGTTTATTTAGCTCACAGTTTATGGAGGTTACAGTCCATAATCAGCTGGCCCCAAGGCAGGGTGGCATGGCACACAGGCAATGGTTCAAGGCAGAAGACAGAAGAAGCAACAAGAGAGGAAAAAAAAAAAAAAAAAAAGGAAGGGGAACAAGCCTCTTTTCCTCCCTTATATTTTAAGGAGGCTACCTGCGCCCTGGTGGGGGTAGCACTCACACCGTCTCCATGCCCTCTTGCAAAGGCTCAGGGTGTTTACAAAGTGTCCCCCTGCTGAATCATTTAGTTAAACTTTTAAACTTCTCAAGCTCACACAGTGAACATCCTAGAGCAGGAGGGCGTGTCCTTTACACCCCAGGATGTAGAGCTGCTGAGTCACTTAATTAAACTTATAATTAAACTTCTCAGATTGGTACAATGTATCAACCATTATAGGTATATATATTTGGAGATGGCATCTTAACTGTGGCACTGCTGACATTTGGGGCCAGATCATTCTGTGTTGTGGGACTTACTATGCATTGTGGGATACTTAGCCCTATCCCGGTCCTCTGCTCACTGAATGCCAATCATGACCATAAACATTCCTGAGACATTTCCAGAAGTCCTCTGGAAACAAGACTGGCTCCAGTTGAGAATCACCAATTTAGAATTACATCTCAGTAATCCAGGGCTTGCTGTTCCACACTGTAGCCTGAACCCTTCAGAGAGTAAGACAATACAGGACACAGTTCCTGGGGCAGCCAAAATAAACGCCAAGTGCTTCTACAATTCACAAATAGAAGTGCTCTCTACGCCCTCACTCCTTTCTGTTTACCCCAACCCTATGCATCTGGTGTCCTAGGTCGCAAGCACAGCCCACTAGGAAAGACCGGTTGGGTGTAAGAAGGCTTGTTTTAGGGGCACCTGGGCAGAGCTAATGGGTTACATCTGACAGAAAATGGTGAGAGAAGACACAGGCACTGAAAGGTACGGAATGTGAGGGCTGTGTGTTAGCCACACTGACATAGATTTGCTGGAGGAAAGGACCAAGTTTGAGGTCAGTTCTCTTTGATCCTCAGGCACTGCTCACGGTGTGTGTTTTCCAGGGTTCTCTGACCTGGGGCAAAAGGCACGGCTCCATTTTGCTTCCTCCAATCCCTCTTCCAGAAGTAGCCAATGTAGGCAGCTGGCTGTGTCCTTCCACGATTTTCTCCACTAATTCAGTACATAATTCAGTGTCCAGTTGTCCACAGCAGCCCTCAGGCCAGTAAATCATGATCCCAGTCTCTCTTTTGGTCCAACTGCTGCTCTTTACACACATGTATGCACACACATTCACACATAGCTTGGAGTTTTGCATAAATGAAATCTTTAGGGAAGCTTCTATACAAATGGGATTTTTTCTATAACTTGTTTTTTTCTAGTTTTCTTTTTTGTGTCCCTTCTCTAGTGAACATAATTAGTGCTCTGAGATGTATTTATTTCATTTTCTGCTCATATAATCATATTTATGTCAATATATCTACCTACCTATCCACCTATATAGACAAGTACATATATACATAACAGCTTTGTTTATTGCATCTTTTATAAAAATGTGATTATGTGATATTTTCTATTTGATTTTCCAGATTTAGCAAAGTTCATAGAAATCTCTTCAAGTCCAGTGTTATAGTCCTACTTCCCTGATTTTGATGGTTATATGATGCAACTATTTCATGTTTTACTTACATTCTCATTTCGCTGGGCACATACCTTGCTTTCAGTTTTCACACACACACATACTTTTTTGGCATGTTTACATTCTTTGATATGAATAATTGATAGTCCATCAGTCTTATGTAATGTCCTGGTGTATATAGGGTTAAATTAACATCCTTGTATATGTAGTGTTAAGCTTTATGAGATAAATTCCTAGGAGTGGGATTGCTGATCGTATTAACATTTAAATAGAATTAACCAGATTGTTTTTGAAATAATGGTTTCCATTTTCTCTGATTCCTTAAGAACACCACCCTTTGTGCGTTTTTCTGTGGCTCTGCTTATGTATTTATTTACAACAGGGTCTATTATGTCTGTGTATAGACCCCCCCCCCCAGCCTCATGCAGTCCATGGGTGGGCTTTTTCAGAGGTGGCTGGATCTAGAGTGTGTGACTGATTCCTGGTGCAGTGCTCGGAGGGAGTAAGGGTGCTTAATCCCGCCCTACTGCTGGTGTCCTGGATACAGTGTAAGAGACAGAAAGAGGCTTGTCTTGCCCTCTTGCTTGCTTTGCTGCCATTTGTCTTCCATGAACTGTTCTCTGCAGTGCTCTCCTGCTTTGGAATCTGCTGCAGCTGGACTAAAACCTCTATAACTGTGAACCAAACAAAGCTTTCCCTTTCAACTTTGGGTGTCTGGTATTTTGTCTCAGCAATGAGAAAAGTAACTAAGATCGGGTCTTGCGATGTAGTTTAGGCTGGCCTTGAATTCACTATGTAAACCAGGCTGGCCTTGAACTCATGGTGATCACCCTGTCTCAGCCTCCCAAGGGTTGGCATTACAGGCATGAACCACCATGCCCAGCCTTTCTGTTGGTTTACTTGCTTTTTTTTATTATCACTCATCTTTATTAATGACATCTTTAAAAAGTCACTTATTTATTGAAAATAAATTCTGAATTTAGTAATTCTGAATTAAGAAAGTATAATTGTCTAGATTTTGTTGTAATACATTTATTGTTTGTGTGCTTTTTTAGTATAGCAAATATAGCATTTCATTTTATTTTCTTCAGATTGAGAACCACTTATAAAATATAGAACTGAGATATCACTATTTGTCCGTCATCTATCTCTCCATCCATCCAGCCATCCATCTGCAGTACTGGGCATTGAACCCAGAGCCCTTGCATTGAATTATACTTCAAGCCCTTTTTATTTTTTATTCTGCCCAAGGTATGCTGCAATTTGTGATTTTCCTGCCTCAGCCTTCCAGAGTGCAGAGATTATGGATCTGCACCATCACACCATGTGTATCCTTGCCATAATTGATTATTTTTGCTATTTTTAAATCGTCTATTTCTTAATTTTCAAAAGCCTGGTATTAACTAGGTGGCGGCTGGCTGAGGTAGGAGTCTGCGGCCCCACAGTGTGATAGATGCACCTCTTATCTTTTGGGGAAGCACGGTTTGACAGTGATTCACCTCGCAGCCTGGTCGGGGAGCTTCGAGATCTTGCTCATGTTAGTTAAAGCTGGAGCAGACCAGAGAGCCACGGGTCGGGTAGGTACTATGTTGTCTGTCTGCGCTGTGTCTTGCACCGGGAAGTGAGGGGATGGCCCACGGGTGATTCCCCCGTTTCCTCCCATCCTCTTCAGGACGGGCTGAATGCGCTCCACTTCGCGGCGCCGAGCAACAGCGTGCACATCGCAGAGTACCTCATCGGGGACCTGCACCTGCGGGAGCTGGGCCAGCGCGGCCAGGTGTGCCGTCCTGCCCTCCCCGGCCAGTTTCTGTTTTCTCCTTGTGCCAGGCCGTTGCGTTCAACACAGGTCGGAACGGCTGGCTGTGACCACGTGGAGGACAGGAAATACTGGAGAAGCAGATCACTTTCTTACTCTCTCCTCCTGGCCAGGGTGTGGACAGTGTCCACATGGGATGGGGGGGCAGGGGGGGGGAGAGGCGGAGGGCGGGGGGGGGAGGGGAATGCGCGCGCGCACAGTATTGGCAGACTTCCATTCTTTGATATAGGTAATTGATAGTTTATCATTCATATGTGAAAGTACTTATGCAAATGGGCTTCACAAAGAGCCATTTTTCCAAGAGTGGTGGCACATGCTTGCAGGGATGGAGGAGGAGGGAATGGGCAGGGGGAGGGACTGGGAAGGGTAGAAGAGCCATTCTGCAACTTCCTTCCAAACAGACTCCATCCCAAGCCATACCTTTGTAGCAATACAGGGAACCCACTATTGGGATTCGTCAATGAGGTAACGATTTGTGCTTAGCAAAGAGCTGGGCTGATGGTAGTGCTCAGTAACCAGATTAGAACAGCTCTTGGGGTAAAATGCATAACCTGATTTCCCCACGCTGAAGATCCTAGTTACACACCGTTCAGCATCGAGTGACAGCGCTGGCACTGGGCTTTGCAGTTTGATCCATGCTGAGTTGGGAAGCAGCTTCCAAATGAAGTTGTTTCCATAGGTTTTGTCAAGAGCCCGGTTTGTACAGGTGCGCTGTGTGTTGCTCCCCTGTATGGGCTCTGAGCTTTCCTGGGTCCCAGAAGAGTAAGAGAGCAGGTTTGCAGGGGAGCTGCCCTTCATCTAGCTTCTGGCCAGGCGCTTCCTGTCCATCATCTCGCTCCGGTTGGCTCTGCTCTTGTCCCGTCCCACCTCCTTCCTGCTCTGTTTGTAGAGGAAAAGACTAGGGGCTGGGCAGAGACCGTGCAGTGCCATTAGAGATCTGAATGGGTTTGGAGGCACAAGGAATGAGCAAGTCCTCTCTGAGCCCCACTTCAGTCCTGTAATAAAATCAGGTTGACAAACTAAAGGCAGACTGAATACACTCTTTTTTAAATCAAGATAGACGACTGCAGTTCAATATGTTGGAATTGTGGTGCTAAGGTAAGGAGACGGGGTGCGGAGATACTGTTTAATGAGTACAGAATTTCACTTTTGCAAGATGAAAATTGTGGAGATAGAGGGCAGTGATGTTACACAGAAATACCACTGGACTCTACACTTAATAATGGCTAAGGTGGCAAATTTAAATTTTGTGTTATAAAAATTTACCATGATGGAGCCAGGTGTGATGGCACACTCCTGTAATCCCAGCACTTGGGAGGCTGAGGCAGGAGAATCATGAGTTCAAAAGCCAGTCTAGGCTTCAAAAACAAACAAACAAAAAAAGGACCCTGTCTCAAAACAAAACCAAAACCAAACAAAAGAAAACAAAACCCACAATGAAAAAAATTGGAAAGAAAAGCAAATTCATAGCAGGGATCAGGAACTGATAGTCAATTAATTTATCAGTGGGTTTGCTGGGTATGGATGTAGAGATACTGTGGAACTTGTGGAAGACATTTGGTAGAAAAGACCACCCCATCTTTACAGCTTCACCCCCTTACCTAGATTCTTGTCAAGAGAAAGCATTGAACATGTTCCCCTTGCAGGGTTAGTAAAACCCTTATTTTGGCCTGAAAGTTCCAGATGCAGACCAGAAAAGCTTAACTGGGAAGCAGGCATTGATTGAGATAGATTGAGATAGGCACAGGAGAGTTTGGACAGGGCTAGGATGGGCAAGACACTGGCTGGGGACCCAGGGAACCCTTTGATGTTTTTCCCAGCAAACTACCCGTAGAAATCAACCTGGTTTCATCAGACCGGCCAGAAGTTTTAGGTAAAATAGGGTACTTTTTTGTGTTTTGTTTTTTGAGACAGGGTCTCACTCTGGCTGACCTTGAACTCCAAGGGCTCAAATGATCCTTTTGCCTCAGCCTCTTGAGCAGCTGGACCAAAGGTGGGCAACATTGGTTCTGGCTGGATACTGGGTAAACTCTGTCTGGTGATCACAACTAAAAACACAGACAAAATATTTGGGTAGAGGCTGGATGTTGTGACATATGCATGTGATCCCAGCACTCACGTGGCTGAGGCAGGAGGATTGCTGTGAGTTCAAGGCCAGCCTGGGCTAATCCTGTCTCAAAAAATCAAGAAAAGAAAAGAAAAGTTTGGGGAAATTGTAAGAGAGGTCTTAGTGACCACTCGTATTTTGGTTGGGCCTTTGCAAGAGCTTGGTTGTACACGGATAGGTTGGTTCCAGCTGCAGACACAGGGAAAAGCCCTCTACTCTGAAGGTGTCTGAACTGGAAATCAAAATGTGACGAAGCTTCCTTTTCAGAGGGGTGGGAATAACAAATCTAAAAGGATTTGAGAAGACATCTGATTCCTCCCACAATCTGCCCCCGCTCTTCTCGGGGTTGGTTGCATGGCTGCCCTTGTTGCTGAAGCTCTCAGCTGGGGTTGTGGGGAGTGACCCAGGGTTTGCAGGCTTTAACCAGCTCTCTGTGACTCATAATGTCCATGCAATGTAAATGCTACATAGGTGGCTGTCATACTGCATTGTTTAGAGAATAATGGCAAGGAAAAATGTCTGTATATGTTCAGTAGAGATGCAGTTTCTTCCCCACATATTTTGTATTAGTGAAATCAGATGCGGCAGCAAGAGGTGCAGAAAGCCAGCTGTGCATGGCCAGCGCAGCACTGAGCCAATCCGCTGGCACCGTCCGTGAGGACTCCCAGGTCGCAGCCCACCTTTCGTCTAATGTAGCCCTTTCTGTGTCACTGACATGGTAGCACGGTCTTTTCTTGCTCAAACAAGGTTCCCCTTATCTCGGGCTTACTGTAAACTCCTGACTCCAGTTGAGAGGAAATGTTGGGGGTGTGGATGTGAGCAGAGACACTATGGCACTTGGCGTGGGTTTCCTGGTACATCTTAAGGATCTCTGCGGTAAAGTTAGGTGGAACTTTGAGTGCTTGCTTTTTGCTAATAATTCATTCAGTTTAATAACCCTGATGATAAACTGTAAAAATAATTTATAATAATTCTAACCCCTCATTCTTATTTACATGTGAAACAAATTAAATCCATTGAGTGAAAACATATTAAGTTAACTATATATTGAGTTAATAAAAGATAAAGGGATGGGGAATCCTGGGCTCTCCTCATGTAATTCAATGAGGAAAAGGATCAGGATTCTGAGTTGAGGTCTGGTGTCGGTCCCCTATCTGTGCTCAGGGCTTTCACAGCAGGCTGGTTATCTTCCTGGCTGCATGATTTTTCTACCTTCCAAGTATGGATGGGCCTGTCAGACCTATTTGGACATAATGAAAGTGGGTTGGGTGGTTTAGAAAATGAGATAAAACATGATAAGAAGCTACCATTTAAAGCTACATTTATCTTTATGAAATTCTCATTATTTTGCTTAATAACATATATACACTAATTGGGGAGGAAAGAATTACATCTCATTTTGCCTCGTCTTCTGCATGCACCTTCGATGTCATCAGAGGATGTAGGTGGCTATAAATGTCCTCATTGTGCATAACTTGACTCGTATGTTTTCCCTTGGTGATGAAAGGGCAACTGGCGCTCAAAGCCATCGCTGTTTGCTTGAAGAGGAAAGCGTTTCCTCCTGGGTTACTGAGGTGTTTCCCCAGAACCTCCCGTCTTGGACTTCCTTGTGCAGGTGGCTCCTCTCTCACTTTGTTTAGCTACAGAGAAGTGTAAAGAATTGTAGCAACCACAAGTAGCACAGAAAGGTCATTTCAGAGCTGACCAGAGCTTTGGGCCTTTGGTTGTGTTTGTCTCCACTGTGATATAATTGTTGTTTGCCTCCTTAAACCCGTGCCAGGGGTATAGCTCAGCAGCACAGCACCTGCCTGGCAAGCGTGAGGATCTGAGTTTGATTCCTGGTACTGAAAAAAAAGAGTTTAATCCTGAGTCTATGGGTAGTGGAATTAGAGGGTGAAAACACCATTGACTATGATATTAGAGGTGGAGCTTTTGGGAAATGATTAGGACTAGATATAGCCACTAGGGCAGAACCCACAGTTGAACCCCTGTGGCTTTTTATAGGCCGAGGGTGAACAGGTGTGACATCCTACCCTGACCCAGGACTCAGTCAGCAAGAATCCTTTACGGGGGAGACTGCTTCACCTTGCACCTCTAGAACCAGGTGTCAAAATAAACTCTCTTTATAAACTAGCCTACTTTTGATATTTCTTTATAGTAGTGAAAAATAGGCTAGTATACTCTCCAAACAGATAAATATGTATTAGAATTCTATCTATTACAAGTGACAAAAACCACCAGGCATGGTGGTGCACACCTGTAATCCTAGCACTTAAGAGGCTGAGGCAGAAGAATCGTAGCAAGTTCCAGGCCAGCCTGGGCTAGAAAGTGAGCTCAAGTCCAGCCTGAACTGCATATTGAGCCCCTGTCTCAAAAAGATAAAACAAATAAACAACAATAACAACAAAAAGTGACAAAAATCCATCTTAATCTAGGTTAAGAGATGAAGGTGATTTATGAACTCTTAATTGAAGTGTGTGAGGGTGTATCTTGATGGCTTCAGTCATGGTTGGATCCAGCTCATTTTCTTTCTGCAGCTCCCGGCTGTCTGTGTGTTGGCGTTATTCACAGGTATGCTCTTCACATGGTGAGGAGATGAGCGTTAACAGCCACAGGTTTATATCCTTGTTTTTTGGTCCATAAGGAAGAAAAAAACCCTCTTGTCTTATATACATTTCAGAAACAATTCTGTTTGGCCTTGTCTAAATCTTAATCTCAAACCAATCACCATGACCAGCATGGGTTATGAGATCACTCTGTGTGATAGGAAGCAGGCAGTAAGGCATGGTGGTGACATCATTAGTACCCTTGTGACAAGGTGGACCTGTGGATGTGTGGGGCTGTGGCAAAGGAGAGTGAAGTACTACTGTAGAAGAAAGGTCAACCGGAGGTAAAGCTCACAGATGTCCACTTCAGGGCGCATGCTTCCAAATTATCACACTCTGGTTAACATTCTTTGGTGTTGGCCATTTACCATTTCAGCATTTTCTCTTACTCTATTTCCGCTCCTGCTGTTGGAGACTTGTGAGTTAACAGTGGGTGCAATCTTTTCATCAAGCTGTAATACCAAAAGGTTTGATCTCCCTCAGACCTAGCACCCTTTCTTTTCTGAGACAGGGTCTTGTTACTAGTTCAGGCTGGCCTTGAACTCTTGGCAGTCCTTCTGCCTCAGCCTCCAGAGAGCTGGGATTACAGCCATGCACCACCACGCCCAGCCTCAGGACACTTTTTGTAATGCGAAGGCTTGAATCTTTTTGTTTTTCCTTTTACCATGTTACAGACATCTTGCTAAGCTTTCATTTAATAACTAAGCCAAGTTGTGAATGTTTTCTTCTCTTTAATGAATGAAAATATGGCTGTCACCATTTTCCCATGCCAATTTCATTTGTCTGCTTTTAAATATCTCAAGTTCGAAAATTAAGTTTTTCTGTGGATCTTTCAGTGATGTTTTGGCTACTGCACACACAGTCTCTATTGGCAACATGGTAAGTTGGAGAAATGAGCATAAGCAGAAAATTCTATGTTTGAATTTTCCAGGGATCAGAATTGAAACACTTCTCAGCGACAGTCTCTGGATAATATTTATTTCTCCATTCTGTTTGTTACAGAGCCATTCTTAAGAGCTTTCTTATTGATTTGTATTAAATAGGGGAGTTAAATATATGCATGAGCAAGGAAGGCCTAAAAAGTAGATGGTAAATGTCATCTGTGAATGAGCCACATAAATGGAAGAAGTTCCATTTCAAACATTTTTTATCAGTGAGCCTGGTGCCATACATTGAGATGGAGCGTGGTATATAGGAGCTTCTCAGGAAATTGCTGAGCGAAAGAAACTTGGAATATGTATGCATGGAAAGTGTGTAACACGGCAGTTTGCTTGGGCTGATTCTCTTCTGAACAATGCTTCTCTTGTCACCGTGAGACTCAATCCTTGTTGATGAGCAGTGGCCCACAGTTTTGGGTGACAGCCTAGAACTGCATCTGGTTTGGAGCCAGAGGAATTGTTATCTCCTTTCTCTAAGAGGGGCCCAGAAGTGCTATGACAAGAGGACCATCTTGGCTTTCTCATAATCCTTGATGTGTCATCAGCCTTGACAGCTGTCTTGCTCTTTGCTCAGTGTGTAATAAATGCTACCATTTGCCTTTGATTTTCAGAATGGAAGGAAGCCATTTCTCTTGGCAGCTGGGAGGGGTCACCTGGAAATGATAGAAAAACTGACACAACTTAACCTGCACACTTTGGAAAAGGGCAAGGTGAGCTGGGCTTTGATTTCTTTGCTGAAAACAAAACAAAGGGAAAGTGAGAAGCAGCAGTTGGTGTGAAGACTTGTCCATAGCATTTTGATCCACAGTAGAATTGTTAAATTGTTAGTGCAGAGGGAATGTGGCCTGTCCAGGTACAATCTGTCCTCTTAGTTATAGATTATCCTCATTGGCAGTTTTTCCTCCACAAGTGTTTAGAAACCAGTTGGCCTCATAGATTTACACTCTCAACTCCTGCCCTCTTCTCTTGAAACCTGCTTTGAACTCAGTCCCAGGTAACTGGGGAGAGAAGAAAGCACCTGAGGTAGACTTCCACATCTAGATGCATATCTCCAGTGGTCTTGTTAGAGAAGATTCCCATGTGTGGATGAGTGTGGATGAGTGCAAAGGCTTTTGCAAACTTTACAGTGTTTTGCTATAACTAAAATGACCTCTCACAGTTCTTTGATCAGTTCATCCTCACATAGGCTAAGTGTCATCACTTTGGTTGTCCACTCTTTGCTAGTAAATTGGAAGGAAAAGTAAAGCAAGGAATATGAGTGATTTCTGTTTCCTTCTGGTTCCATAAGCTATTTTTTAAAAATTTAAATCTTAAAAATTTTTCAATAAGTCTTAAGGCTGTGGCAAGTATGCCCTATGTGCCAGACTGCAGATATAACCGGTATGGAATTTCCAGAGCCCTTGCATGACTGCAGCTGTGGGAACAGGGGCTCCCAAGCACGGGGGAGTGGGGCTGGAGTGTGTGTCTCTGTTGCAGGAGGGAAACACAGCCTTGCACCTGGCTGCGATGCACGGCCACAGTCCTGCAGTGCAGGTGCTACTGACTCAGTGGCCCGAAGTGAACGAGTCCAATGAGGTAGGTGGAAGAGATCCTTCCAGCTTGACACAGGACTTGAAGAGGGGGAGGACTGGAGGGGCCACTTTTCCAAAAGGAATTGGAGGAAAATAAAGGTGTGGGTGCCACGGGGTATAAAATGTGGCATTAAAAGATTCCTACTTTTTCCTTCAAAGTATCCCACAGCACTTTGTTCATCCATTCACTTTTTCACCTTTTAATTCAAAAAAACATTGTTTAATAGATGCAGTACTTGCTCTTTCATGCCTACAAGGCAATGCAGGCTATATATATATATATGGGCTATGTGTAATTACAGATGCATGCTGGGAGGACACAGGAAACTCCAGGAATGATGTCTTCTTGGAGGTGGTGATTATTATCTAGGTAGTAATATTTGAATGGACTTGGCAGGAAGGACTCTGAACGGACATTGGTAGGAGAAGGGCACAAGTGTAGAGTATTTCAGATAGTAGAAGAGCCAGGTAAAGGAACCCAGGCTTGCAAGAGCATGTGTGTCCTGGGGCTAATGCACTCAGGGTGATGGAAGCTGAGGATGGTGGACTGGGAAATGCAGAAGCTAAGGCTAAGGCAGGTAGATGATGAAAAGTGGTGCTACCGGCAAGGGCTGTCTTTAAATTGTGGCCACAAGAGGTTTTGAGGGGTTTTAAGCAGTGTAGATGGATGGGGCCCATCCTGCCCATAGGCAGGTTTAAAGGGGGTGGGTGATGGCACCTGTCCCTGGCTGTGGAGCATAGGGAGGAGCAGGCAGTGCAGGTTGGAATGCGTTTGCTTGCAGCTTCTTGGGAGTGTATTCAGGTGGAGAGCAGCAGGGAGGCAGATGATGGTTCTGAGATTGGATGAGGGGCTGTGGAGGCGGCTGTGTGAGTCCACTGTCAGGATCACCACTTTCTATCCTTTTAGTCAGTGACTTTGTGGGCTGGTTCTTCACAAACTGAAATAAGTGGAGTCTGTTCAGGCTTCAAAGTTGAGTATTCTGATAATTTTTAAACCTGGTACTTCTCATGCAACATACCAGAAGAAGTGCTATCACAAGCATTTATCATGCCATAGAGTTGAAGGCACACTATTATTCTGTCCAGCACTAAGAAACAATAATGCTGCCCACTGAAATATGACACACAAAAAGCCTTTTTGTCACTTAGACTGTTTACTTCCTGCCAGACATGGTAGTGTACACCTGTAATCCCAGCACTTGGGAGGGTGAGGCAAGATTTCCCCAAGCTCAAGCCGAGGCTACAAGTGAGTTCAAGGCCAGCCTGAAGTATATAATGAGACCCTGTCTCTGAAAAATGAATCCAAACCAAAATGAAACATAAATATTTACTTAATACTTGAAAAGGTTTTTAACTTTTAGTTTTTAAAATTGATTGATTGATGGTGGTACTGGGGACTGAACCCAGAGAGCACGGTGAGCTGCATCTCCAGTGTTTTTATTTCTGTTTGCCACTGAAGGTCTGGAGAAGCCCATCAGTCTAGTTCTCCTATCCTTGGCCCTTGAAACATGCAGTTTCAAGCCAAGGTCCTAAATGCCTGGGGCTGACCCTGGATGCACCACTGGCTGGGCTGGGAGATGATGGACACATTATTCGGTTCCTGTCAGCTTCCACTTCCTCCTTTGTAAAACAGACTGCAAAGGCACAGTGGGTTTTGATGTGAAGGCCATGCACTCAGTACAGGGTATAGTGTGGGTGCTTGTGTAAAATGTGGTGTTTATTATTTTCATTGATGTAACCACGGTTCAGTGAGAGATACCACAGTTGTCATCAGTGTCAATAATATACATATACATATACATATACATATACATAATATCAGGAATAGAGTATGGTGTATATACTATCAGGAATACAGTAATAGCATACATACTATCAGGAATAGATGTACTCTACCCTTGACCATGGACAGCAACAGTGAGCCTACATTTGTAGACTACATACCTCACATGGGCTGTATGTAGCACAAAGCTCTAGAAAAGTTAAAAAAACAGCTTGTAACCAGCTCCATGAGCATTTAGCTGAAAGCTTGTAGACACACACCTGTACACACTATATTAAGAGCTCTTCAAGTTTCAGAAATCCAGCCTTAGATCTGCTGGAAAATTTACCTGGACTCAAGATCAAGGACCAAAATAAAGCCTTCATTTATCTTTGTTATCTCCCAGGAATTTGGTCTTCCTGAATGTGAGCTATGAGTCAGGAGTTAAAGACTTAAAAAGAAAGTCAGTATGGTGTGCATACCTGTAAACCCAGCACTCAGGAGACTGAGGAAGGAGAATGGTGGTGAATTTGAGGCCAGCCTGGGCTACATAATGAATTTAAGCCAACTTGAACTATCTAAGTGAAACCCTGTCTCAAAAAGCGAAGAAACAAAGAAATATACCCCCAAACCAGAACAACAACAAAGCAACTCAAAAAGAACATGAGTCCCTCATAATAATTTATGGATATGCATGGCCTTCACCAGTCAATACAGAGTGCCTAAATCCATTCTTGCTTCCATAACAAAACACATTAGATTGTGCAATTTGTAAATCTTAAGAGATAGTTTCTCATCATTGTGGAGGCTAGGAAGTTTATGATCAAGGTGCCAACATACTTAGTGTCTGATGAGGGCTGCTCTCTGCTTCTAGGTGGCTCCCTGTTGCTGTGTCCTTATATGGCAGAGGAAAAAAGTGTCAAGTTGACCCTCAAAGCCTTTCTAGAAGGGCACTAACCCTGTTCATGAGGGTGGAGTCCTCATGGCCTCTCATGTGGTGCACTGAGAATTGTTTCAATATGAATTTTAGAGGAATGCAAACATTTAAACTATAGTAGAGATCTTTTCCTGTGGTCACAGGATTGAAGGTCAGTCTTACACCTGCTTTGCTCTGTTCTGGTGCTGGACCACTGGAATGTGTGCATGTGACTCATTCACCTGGCAGCTCTTTAGAGTGAGGGTGGAGAATTTGTAAAGTTCAGTAAAGTGTAATTGCAGATCATGATGCATTTCATTTGTGCACAGTAATGTGTCCACTGATAATATTATTCTTTGGGGTGAGGCATGTGTTTGTGTAGTTTTGCTGTTGTTTCCTGTTGTAAGCTGTTGCCAGATCAGTTAGAATGAATGCAGAATATTCCAGACCACTGGTCTATAAACATTCTTGGTAGCAAATGCATATAAGTAAAGAAAGTTAAGCATTAACCTGTTACATTCATTTATAATTCAATTAGCACATTGTAAAACATATGATAGAAATATAAATTTTTAAAATTTGAGATAAAATAAACATAAATGGCAGTATTGTATTTTCTCCATATGGAAAGTATTATCTTCTACACATACAAAGTTTTCCTTCTAATTTCCTTTTTGTTCCTACACATATATGTTTGTACTGGCATCCAAGACTTCATTTAAGTATTCTTTAGCTCTTGCACATTTAATTTATGTCACTTGTTCCTTATTTTAGGTAATATTGTCAGGAAGCACTTTGGTTATAAACCTTAGTCTGAATTCATATTTTCATTGCATCTATTCTTAGTGTAGATTTGGGTCAAACACTGTTATTTTGCAAATACTTTCCCATTGGGGTTGCCTTTTAACATCTCTTTTTTTTTCTGGAAAAATGAGAAGAGAGATTATGTGGAGAAAGCCCTTTATAACAGAGGGCTGGGTCAGGCACTCAGGTAAAGGAGCCTTTTAGGATGGGAGCCTGGTCCCACACCTTTGCCTCCCTGTTAACATGATTGTTCATACAAATAAAACCTTATGGATGTATCCAGATACAACCATTAAGAATAGTATTTAAGAGAAGAAATGATTAGGAGATGGGGAAGGAATTCCATATTTCTTTTATATTTGTGGAGAGTTTGCATAAGGATAGGGAAATATACAAGTAGCTATTTGTGTGACACCAGTTATTTCTTTTTTTCTCTTTTTTATTTAAGTAAACTAAACTCTAAATTTTATCCTGAGTTTCACAACACCGGAGTAGTGAGTTAACTTTTTAAAAAATTAGTTGTGAGGGCTGGGGATTTAGCTCAGCAGTGTAAGTGCTTGCCTGGCAAGCATGAGGTGGCAAGTTTGATCCCTGATACCAAGCAAATAAATCGATAAATAAAATAAATTAAAAATTAGTTGTTTTTTAAATGACATACAACATTTTATTTATTTATTTAGAGATAGGCTATTTATTTAGAGATAGGGTTCTTACTATGTAGTACAGGCTGGCCTTAAACTCACTTATGTAGTCCAGGCTGACCTCAGACTCATGGTAATCTTCCTGTCTCAGCCTCCAGAGGACTGGGATTGTAGGCATGTGTCACCATGCCTACCAACATACAATTTAAATCAGTTGGAAAGAGTAAAGCTGTACTCTAGACAAATAATTCTAATTTTGTATGTTTTATAATACATGTATTATAACTCCTTACTTCCGAGATTGTTTTTCTTATCAGGTTATGTTTCCTTGTAGACAAGATTTGTGCCCTATTCATCTTTCCAATTCCAGTTCATACATATCTAATATATGTTTGCTGGGAAGATTAATAAAGTTTAACAGTATGAAAAGTGGACAGGGACAGTGAAAAGAGGCAGCAAAACAGCAAAGAGTGCAGCACTTGCTTGACTTGCTTCCTAGCTTTGCCACGTTTCAGCTGAGGGTTAGTTTTCTTATCTGTAAAGTGGAGATAATAATAATTTTGACCTTGTAAGAATACGGTATAATTTGACTGGGCCAAAGCATATAGTTGCGGCAGTATTAGTTGACACGCAGATGTTCAATAATGCTATTATCAAGAGTAATGTGGGGCTGGAGATTTAGCTCAGCGGCATAAGCGCCTGCCTTGCAAGTGTGTGGTCGTGAGTTTGATCCCCGGTACTGATTAAAAAAAAAAAAAAGAGTAATGCACAAAAGTTATAGAGAAAGCATGCTGCTTATTCAAGTAATTTAATTCCATGAGAAGGGGCAGTTACTAACTTTTTTTTCTTTTATTAGAATGGAGAAACACCATTCTTTTTGGCTGTTGCAGGAGGTCATTAAGAACGCAGTAAAGTGCTACTGGAAGCTGGAAGTGATATCAACATTCCAAATAAAGTATGTGCTCCGGGCCATGTTCACTCATGCAGGAACGGGACATAGAGTGTTCTTTAGGAACTCTGGTCTGTGTTGTTTATTCACTGGGATTTTGTAGAGTTAATATTTATAATGTGCTTTGTTTTGATTAATAGTTAATGACTTACCTCTGATAGTTTCCTCTGATAGTCTGCTATTAACCTCTTCTCAAAAGCAATAACATTCTTTCTAGTTATGTGAAAAGGAAAAACTGGGACAAAGGGAACAAGTTACTGTTACTTCTTAGAGTCAGACACTGTGTAGTGAGCCCTTCCTGATCCTTGTCGCAGTTTGGGGAGTTTAAATTCATAGCCCCAAAAGAGAGTTACTGGAATTCCAGCATGTTAATTCCAGTCTAACACTTCCAGTGCAACCCGAGGCGAGAATAAAGACACTGAGACATACAGTTATGGGGTAGCAACGGGGTCCTAAGTCCAGCCAGGATGAAAGGTCACCATAACTCAGGGCCCAGCCTGGGTTTCATTAATTCTCCATGAGGGGAGTGGCTCAGGGATGACTGACAGTGAGAATGGTGGGAAATAACACGAGGGCCTGAGCTGGGCAAGGTAGGAGGCCCAAGATCACTTCTGCGATATCAGAGGAAAGAAACACAGAATAATTTGCATAACACAAATGAGATAGTATCTAATATTTTGTGTTGGGTGCTTCAGCTCTGATGCACAATCTTTTTTGCCCTGGGAAGTCACAGCCTCTTATCTTGAAGCTCATTCCATCCAGCTCAACCATGGTTTTCCTGGAGTCACCAGGTGGTGAAACAGTGACTGTCACCTAGTGTCAAAGGTTACACGTGGCTCTTCAACCAGCCCAATTTACATTGCTTGAAGCCAGTTGAAGGGGCAACAAAATCACCTAGCCAGCGCTGTACATATGAATACGTGGAGATAGGGTCAAGTTTATCCAAAATGAAGATAACTGCTCTTCTTTCAAGGAGTGGTCTAGGTGGTTCCCCACATTACTCTACTCTGTTTTCTCCATAGTAAATGGCACATGTCTGATCGTACATGTTAGATACTGAAAAGAACGTTTACTGTGTGAAAGCCCTGTATGGAGCCTGAAAAGGGCCTGGTGTAACTTCTTCTAAATACAGAGCGCTAAGTACTAAGTAAATACAGAGTGCTAAGTACAGAGTGCTAAGAGGTTTCAGACCCTCAGCATCACACTTTCATCCTCATTGTTTTACGTCAGAGAACTGTCACTCAGAAGAGCTAAGGAACTCATCCTAACCATATTAGTCAATGGTAGTGCAAAGGTTCAAAGTCACATCTAACTCCAGTACTGGAACTTTGAACCACCACAATGGCCTTGGATGCAGATGGGTTACTTTCTTTTTTTCTAACTAGTATTAAATTGTAATTCAAATAACTTACCACAAAAAATTTGAGGAGTATCCAAGGCCATATGCTAAGAAGTGTCGTACTCCAACTCCACACCTCAGTTTCACTCCCTGGAAATTTAGGTATCTTCCAGGAATTTGCCATGCATTCCCATGGGAAGTGTGAGTTGACTGAACACACACTCATGTACACATGGATGCCACAGGAATTGAAACACATTGTGTAGTATCTGCTGCTCTGCACTTTGTGGGTTTTAGTTTCACTGCTAATAGATCTTTATATCAGCACAATAGTAAATAAATCTTTTCCAAATGGTATGGAATTAAACACTAAAATCAAGAATAAAGTCTCAAACAGGGAAGACTGTGTATCCTTGTGTTCTGCTGGAGAAAGTGTACATTTGTACAACCCTCTTGAAAAGCAGTTTGTCACTTCTTTGGCCATGTATGGGAAATTTATTAAAAGAATAATCTAAAAGGAAGAAAAAGCTAACTATATGTACTAAAATGATAAAGTTGCCATTAAAAATCAAAGAATTAGATATACTCTATATGTAAGTAAATAGGAGAAGGCTGAATAAATGTTTGGTGCATTTATTTCTTGGAAAATTATTGTATGTAATAATGATAAACACAAAATATATTGTGATATAGAAAATGTTCGTCATTTTTATATTATATTTGAATGTTCATCGTTTTTATATTAAAATAATATATAATAATATAATACATGTTAATACAGTAATATATCTATTTCTGTCCAGCTGTGAGGGGGCCTTAGAAAAATAACTGAGCATGCTTACTTGCTTATTTTCTCTTTTTGTCTTTCTTTCTTTCTATTTCCTTTTCTTTCTCCTTCTTCCCCTTTCTCATCCTCTTCCTTTTCTCCTTTTCCTTCTGCCGTCCTCTTGCTCCCCACCTCCCCCACCTCCTCTTTCTCTTTCTTTTTGCTGCTAATTACAGTCTTCTGTGAGACTTCCAGTTTTACTTTTCAGTCCCGTAGCCACAGTAAGTTCAGTTAATTTTTAAGTGACCCTGACTTTTTAGGATTCAATTTGCATACCTGGCAAATTGTTTACTTATGTAATAAATATTTTATGCATATTACACTTAACAATCAGCGAGGTATGTCAGTTAAATATTTAAATATTTTACTTTCATGGTGCCAGTTTGGTATTTTGGAATGAGTCATGTTTTCTTTTGGGTTTTACTTATTTATCTCTTTAGAAGTTTGCAAGTTCTCCACAGTGCACCAAAGAGCCATGGATTCCCACAGCTACAGAGAATTCCTGCTGTGAGCTAGAAAGGCCTTACATGGTGCCTCAGACTCTTCCGGAAATGAGTTTCTGATATCAGTGTAAATCTCGAGAAAAGTTTCTTGGTTGCTCACTAGAAAACATCCATCCAGTGATTGTATTTTATTTCATTGTAGCACTCACTTATAACTACTTGGTATTATTCTTCTACTAGCATCTAGAATGTATTAGATTTATTCTGAATCTACTGATTTACTGGTATCAATCTACCAATCCATGGGTCCATGGATTGTCCGTTACCACTGGAATGTAATGTCAGACAGCATAAGATTTGCTTGCCATCCTAGTCCTCCAGGCTCTAATACAGTGCCTGGCACATAATAGATGCACAATAATTTTCCATGGGATGAATAAGATGATAACTATAATTTCTATATACATTTTCTATTTCACATCTTAATCCCTAGAACTTGTATGTTAGATCATAAGGTGAAGGAGAATTTCAGGTGGAATTGATGACTGACAGCTGACCTGAAAATGAGGTGTCCTTGTTTATCTAATGGGCATAAGGTAATCATAAGGCTGCCTTAAAGTGGGAGGGGCAGGCAAGGAGATCAGGACAGTGCGGTAGGAGAACTCTGCCAACCAATGTGGCATGAGAGCTCCACCACCCTTTGAGTATCAAGAAAGGATGGTGCACCGGAGGTAGGAACTTTTGAAAAACTGGAAGACAAGGAAACGGACCCAGCTTTTTTCCTGAGCACAGCCAGACCCTTTCAAACTTCTTGACCTCCAGAACTGTAACACACTTGCATTTGGTCACTAAGTTTGTGATAATTTGTCACAGCAGCCAAGAAAACACATACAGATGACTAAACCAGTTTTACTGGAAAGACACAGAAGCCCAGACTGATGAGCCCCCTTATCCCAGCAAAATAAATAAAGGGTTTAGCATGAGCTCAAGTTAGCCTGAGTTGCATCTAGTGCTACTCTTTGCATCTGTTCCAGTTGTCTGTTGCTTCATAGCCAACCAACCCAAAACCCAGTGGCTTAAAACAATGCTATTGTCTTTCGTGGATCTATGGTATTGATCCAAATAACACATGGAGGGAGGTTCTCTACAGGTGAAGTCTGCAGGGAAGAGCAGAGCGCTGCAGCAGCAGTCCAGGTCATAGTGAGCTGCAGGTTTACTCAAGGACACTGAGGCCAGGACAGATCTGAAGGGTGAAATGAAGAGGATTGTAGGAGACAGTGTAGAACAATGCTCTTTGGCTGTAGAGTTTAGGTGTAAGGGTGGCACTGGTCCAATATAAACACAGGTGTTTGGGAAGCATTGCTGTGGCTGTTGTGCAAGCTTGTGTTTCTGCTGGTAGGTTGTGAACCATTCTCATCAGGCCTGTGTGTATGAAATCTCCTCCCGCACAGACTCCTGGTCGGCCTTTCTTTCTTTCTTTCTTTCTTTCTTTCTTTCTTTCTTTCTTTCTTTCTCTTTCTTTGTCGTTTTGAGACAGGCTCTCTATGCAGTTCAGACTGACCTTGAACTCACTGTGTAGCTGAGGCTCACTTCAAACTTGCTGTGGTCCTTCTACCTTAGCCCCCGCGCCCCTCGCCCCCTGGCTTTTGTTCAGAGCACTGATACATGGCTTTTGATGTGCCTTAGTCTTCTTGCAGTCTGGCAGCTGGAACCCAGAAGGGGACAGCTGCAAGAGTCAGCACTACAGGAGGCAAAGAGCAGAAATGCTCAGGCTAGGCAGGGGGTTACTCCTGTCATACTCTATTGTTTGGAGCAGTTACAGAGTCCACCGGGATTGAAAGGGATAAGAAACCCAGCTCTTGATGGGGAAGGGGCTGAGTCGCATTACAAGAGTACGTGGGACAGAGGACATCAGTGTAGCCATTGTGGGAAAGCAGTTTCCACAGTACCTGTATCTGAAGGACCTGAAGATTCTCTGTGACAATCTTTACTTGATTAGCAACTAATTCATTGACTGTTATTATGGCAAGGTAACATGCTGGATTGGCTGGAGGTTAGAGGATAATTAGAGGCAGCTGTGCCCTTGAGCAGGGAGCTTGGGCACCAGTGTTACGAGTGGAGGGTGCTGGGCCTTCTGTCTAGGCCCTTGGTGTCCTGAACAAAGAACTGGACAGAACACACAGAAGAGGCAGTGAGGTTGTACACTGACCTAAGTGGAAAAGACGCATGCCCTATAGGGAGAGGTCAGCCAGTGCACAGACTCACAGTGGCCCAGGACAAGGGAAAGGGGTCTTTTGTCTCTGAGATTCCTGGATTGCCTTCCTCTTACACAAAGAAGGCATCAGGATAGTTGTGCTATCAAGAATTCCCTTGGCCAGGCCCCAGAGTTAAACTGCCCAATGGAAAGACTTGCTCGGCTTCCTGCCAGCTGTGAACAAAGGGTTGAAGTTAGCTCTACTCTCAGATATCACGCAGCCAAAGAGGAACTTGGGGTCCTACTACTGGTCTAGTGTGATCCTTCTGGCTAGCACATGGAATTCTGGGAAGAGATTAGCTTAAGGGAATTTATTGTCAGGGAGTTAAAGTCTCTTGACTTTTTTTTAAAAGGGAAAGCATGAAAATAGCACTATCCTGATTGGTCCTGCAAACAATGCCAAATACAAAACTGTTACTTTCTGCTTGGTTCCATGTACAGTGCTCAGCAACTGTGCAGTCCTTTGGGATCCTGTGTTCTGTGCATGTCCTCTGGGGTTTTTGACTTTTGACACCCTCCACCCAGTGGTTGATCTGGTTTGCCCTAGCCCTAACCTCCTACCTCACTAGAATAGTTGAGCCCAGGGGAGCAGCAGGAGGCAGCAGAAGCAGAACAAAAGAGGTGCAGAAGGAGTTGGGTAAAAGGGCAGAGAGCCAACGTCTGGCCCAGGTAGAAGCCACACCAGTCTATGCAGCTGGGCCTGGAAGGGAGGAGAGCTCACAGTCTACAGACACAGGGAGCAGGAAGTGGCTTGTGAGGAAAGATTTTGCAGGGTGGGAAAGGGAAAAGACTCAGTTGCAGTCCACTTCTTACTTCCCGAGTCACAGAAGCAGCAGGCTCGCTCTCATTTCCCTGGAAGCAGCATGAATTAGCTCCAGCTGCTATGATTCATGAATACACATTTAGTGTTCATAGTTCTGGAGGTGGATGCCAGAATCCAGGTGGGCACAGGGATCGGTCCCAGGGAAAGGCACCCTTCCTTGGTTGTTGAAAGCTTCTGTGTCCTTGGCTTTCGGCCTTTTTGTAGACAGGCAGGCATCCTATTCCAGAGGGCCTGGACCTAAGGACCTTGGCACCCCCAGGTCCTGCCTTCAGCACCAGTCCCTGGCTCTGCTGCTTCACTGTACTAATATCACCACCTGAGGGACAGCGGACAGCGTGTCCCAGGGCTCCCCCTGCCCTTTCCTTCTGTCTCTTGCAGCACAACATCAGTGTTTTGCAGATGGCAGCCCAGCACGGCCACGCGTCCCTCGTCGGGTTTCTTCTCAGTGAGAACGTTGACCTGCATCCGCGGACTAGAGTGAGTCTGCTCCGCGTACTTGGCCAGCTGGGCAGGGAGATGTGGCCCTGGTACTGAGGGGCTGAGGTGTTTCACAAGGGAAGGAATTCTTTCTGACTCCTTCTAGATGCTGTTTTAATCTTGAGAAATAAAACCCATGGGATGAATTTTTCAAAATCATTGAAGTGCCTGAGCAAAATGAAATCTCTGTGTCTCCAATATTTGTGTTTGCTGCAGACAAACTTTCTCACATGTCGGGGGTGGCCGCTGGTCCCTGGAGCAATCTCATCAGCGTAGGAAAATGCAGAAGCTGCCCTAAGAGTGAGGGAGGGTGGTGATTTCCCCTCTTTCTCTGACTGATCTTGTTTTTCTTTGAGGGTCTACCCTTTACACTGATGCAGGTTTTCTGAAGTTTGAATTGGCTTGGGTCAAGTTAACAAAGGCCTTTTTGTGCTAGAATTAGACAAGAAACATTGCTCTGCTTTCCAGTATATTTTCATTTCTCCTGTGAGAATATTATTTTCTCTGATCTTGCTGAGCCAGTGCTATTTATTGCATTCACTCGAGAGAAGGGATGTGATTTGAACCCTGTTGGGTGGTTTTTGGAGGCCAGAGGTAGCAGAATTGGCTCTGTTCCTACCTGGTCAGTCCAAGGATGCTTCCTGTTTCTCAGGAACAGCCAGGCCTCGGCAGTGCGGGTGGGCCTGGTGAGGAGGAGGCTGCCCATTCCTCTGAGAGGAGGGATGCTTCTGTTTCCTGCTTCCGGGGGGAGGGGTTACCCCTGAGCAGAGGAGACCTGTGCGGCTTTCCCCTCAGGCTGCCCCACTTGGCTCAGCACCACTTGTCTTCTGCCCCTTGGTCCTCTCTGTCCATCCTGCTCCTCCTCTTCCCATGTGTGGCCTGCACACACATTTCCCTCCCACCCATCTCCTCGTCCTCAGGAGGAGGCTGGAGTCAGGGTGGTCTGGGCTTGAGCCCTTCCCCTCCTTGGTTCTTATCCCACCACCTGTGGCAAGTGAAGGTGTCAGATATGACTTAGGATTACTATGACTATGGCTCTTGGAAAGCTGGTCGTTAACCTACCAGATAAACCAGTATCAGTTGTGGGAGTGATGGACGAGGGACCTGTTTCAAGATGAAGGTGAATGTGCCCCATGAGGCTTCCACCCCAGGGGCCCTCACCTCATTCAAGCCTTCGCTGCTTCTCCTCTGCCTCTTTCCTAGCAGCCACCTTTTCTCCTCCTGGAGACCCAATGCAGAAGCTGCTGGGTAAGCTGAGGCTTAGGATATGATGGAAGAGGTGGATTTGGCTGGGAGGAGAATCAGAGGCCCAGGGAGGCTGTGACTGGTCCACAGAGGAGAAGAAAGAAGGAGCTGATGTAAAGGGTTTGGTGGCCCCTGCAGCTGCACTCTGTGGAGGTGGAAAAGCTCAAACCAAGAGTCTGCCTTAAATAAATAGGGACTGCAGTCCCATGAAGATGGGAGGGTCAGCCACTGCGGTGGACAACTGCTGTACCCAGGAGGCCACCAGGAAGTCCACATGGTAGCTGCTGCAATGGGTTGCTTTAAAGAAGCCAGAATCTTTTAGATTTGAAATTTTGCTTTCCTTCTGCAGCCCAGTGAGTCCCCTCTTCACGTAGCGGTCAACAAGAACCACGTCACTGTTGTGAGCAGCTTGTTGCAAGCTCGGCATGACACTGACATTTTAAATGAGGTGAGCTGGACAGGTCAGCACAGAGAGGCTGCTTTTTGTTTCAGCATAGGGTGCGTTCATGTTCACAGCAGTCTGGTCTAGTTCAGGGTGCCTTGTGCCCTTTCTCCTGTAACCCTGCTCACCTCTGCACTGCATCTGTCTTTGGAGGCACAGTGAAAGTTTGCCTGGGGCTTGCAGAAGTGATTCACACTAACAGTTCTCAAAACACTAAATGTTTTTGAGAAACATGTAACTGGCACTTTTGATAAACAGTGGCTCAGAGGTAAATGATCAGAGGCTCCTTAAATCAATAGCCACTCCTGTGAGTGTGAGTGGTGTCCCTGCAGGGAGCCCTTCCCATAAGGAGTTTCTCAGAGGCTGTCTTTGCCTAAGCCAAAAGAGACTTCCCGGAGGAGGATAGTCCTGAGGGATTCAGTCCATGGGGTGAAATCAGGTGCTTCATGAGAGCCATTGGCACCGGCTGGAAATGGGAGGGGAGCTGGGTGCTGTCCCCTGCAGCCTGGCCTGGCGTGGGCTGCTCTTCAGGGATGTGCACTGGGCCCTGTTTCCTCCTCTGTAAACCCAGAGGAGCCTCGCGCTCCGGTCTCTGGGCTGTTTGCTCACGGCCAGCCCACTTCTCTTCCTTCCCACCCTGAGGGACTCTCTCCCACTTTAGGTCTTTCACTGTCTGAAAGTTGGGGACAGAAAGGCCTCTGATGATCACATAAACATATTCAACTCTGCTCAGGCTCTAAATCTTTCCTAATGGGCAAAAATCTTCCCTAAATACACTGAGCATTATGCTCACCTGTGATTTTGGTTTCCACAAAACTACTTAGATCCACTCTAGGGAAGGAACATTCATTACACTTGCCAATCACTTTTCATCTCAAGCTTTTTGGTTAAACCAGGAATACACATATAAAACAAGAAAGTTCATGTTTTACATATAAAATAAAAATATAAATATTCAAAAACCCTTAAGTATAGAGAAAGATAACTCTTGTTAATGTCTTGATTGGCTGTCTTCTAAACTTATAACAGAATTGTCAACATGAGATAAACCAGGTTACCTATAATCCCAGCTCAGGAGGTTGAGGCAGGAGGATTGCTGTGACTTCGAGGCCAGCCTGGACTACATAGTGAGACCCTGGTATCTGATGTGTTACACTTGTGCTGTATTGTGTTGGTGTACCACCTGTAGTTTTGTAGTACTGTATCTTGGATGATGAGTCTCTGAGGACAAGCTGCCACCTATAGCTGGAGCCGTCATAAATGCTTTTTGATAACCACACCAACTCCTGCAGAGAGTCGGCCCTGGGCTCTGGTGGGATAAGTATGGGGTGACCCTGTGAGGTGTGCCCCTCTCTGGCTGTGGGTCTGGCATTGGTCATAGCCAAGGCTCTTCTCTGTCCTGAGGTCTATGAAATGTCTTCACACCAGCCTCCCTTCTGATGAGTGATTCTTGTGATTTCACATATTTCCTTTTAAACATTTACCATCTGGATAGGAAAAGGATTATTCCAGAAAGAAATGTGTTCTGGGCTTCTTCATACATTACAACACGGGAATCAAGACAATGATAAAAATAACTGCTAGGCATTGTCCATCTAGGCATTGTCCCTGTTAATGCTGTTAATCTGTTTCTTTCTCTTTCTCCATGTGTGAATTAAATAAGCTCAGTTAGATGTGATGCTGTTGTAAGGGTTTTAATGTTATATCAAATATTTTCCACTTGTAAAAATAATTTTGAAATCATATTTTGTGGTAAAAAAAGCATAACGTATAAGTTACCATTTTAATTGTACAGTTCTGTGGCGTTAAGTATATTCACATTGCCGGCAATCATCACCTTTGTCCACCTCCAGAACTCTGTGTGTGTGTGTGTGTGTGTGTGTGTGTGTGTGCGCACACGTGCACATGCACATGTGTGTGGTGATAGGGATTGAACCCGGGGTCTCATGCATGGTACAGGCAAATGCTGTACCACTGAGCTGTACCACCACCAACCCTCCCCTGCTTTTTAAAACATTTTAGTTTGAGACTAGGTCTCACTGAGCCGCTCAGGTTGGCCTTCAGTTTGTGATATTTTGCTTCAGCCTCCTGAGTAGCTAGGATTACAGGTTGTTTTAATTACTTAGGTATTCTTGTTGCTGAGACAGAATAACTGACACCCAAAGTTAAAGGAGGAAAGGTTTGTTTAACTCACAGTTTGTAGAAGTTTCAGTCCATAATCAGCTGGCTCCAAGGCAGGGTGGCATGGCAGATAGGCATTACAGAGGAGAAATAGCTCATGATGGGCAGAAGGTAGCAAACTAAACATGGGAGAAAACAAACCTTTTTCTGTCCTTATATTGTATCCAGGCAGTGCCAAACTAATCAGTGGACTGATCCAGCAGTCACCCACCCTTAATCCCAGCACCCTAATCCCTAGCATTGTATCATGACTCAGTCACACATTATAGACCCAGTCACCTGTGAAAAAGTCCCACTTACGACTGCATGGGGCTTTGGGCGGACATCTAGACACAAACTGTAACACAGGTGTACATCGCTGCCAGCCGGAACTTCCTTCATCCTCTCAAACTGAGACCCCATCCTCACTAATCAGTACCCACCACCGTCACCTGCTTTCCTGACTTCTAGCTGCCACCTTTCTATCTCCTGTCTGTGTTACCCTGGGTACCCCATACTGATTCCCTCCCCTTTGGATTTGACATGAGTCTTCTTGTGTTGCTCAGGCTGACCTTGAACTTCTGGGCCTAATGGTTCTCCTCCTTCAACCTCTTGAGAAGCTAGACTACAGCCACCACACCCAGCTCTGAAGCAATTTTTAATGGTTTCCTAGGATTCTCACTTACGGCTGTCGCATAACTGATCTCATGTCTCCTTGCACAACATGTAGCTTCCTCTCTGTGTTTCACTATTATGAATAATACTGCAATGACTGTCCCCTTTACCCAAGTAAAAGTACACTATCTGTGCATTTCCCCTTGAGCAGATAGAATACCCTACAAATTCCCCTTAGTCTTTTCACCGTGTGAGGACTATTTTTCTCTCCTTTATGTGCTTCCATTACATTTAAGAAATTTTCGTGGCAGAGGCAGCAGACCCCCCTGCACGTGGCTGCTGATCTTGGAAATGTGGAGCTGGTGGACACCCTACTGAAGGCTGGCTGTGATTTGAAGGCTGTTGATAAGGTAACATGACTTCTTCCTGTGCGGCTGACATGGTGCCGCGCCCTCTGGCGGCTGCGAGCATGAGCCGCACCGTTAGCAGTGCCTGAGAGACCCAGGTGCAGCCCAGAGACCTTGTGTGTTTGTAGACTGAAAACATCACAGGTTTGATTGACTGAGCTATGTCGGTGAGAGTTTGTACTCTAGCAAAATATGTGTTTTTAAGATTGAAATTATTCATAAAGTATTCAAAAAGATAACAGCTCTACATGGTCTAAATATCCAGATTATGTTTACTATAAATAAAATATGTATGTCTATATACGTTTTACAGTTAACAATTTTTCATCCACTGTATCCCTGATTCTCTGGTTCCCACACTGCTCTGGTCAGATGGACCCCTTCTTATTATAAATTTCTTCTGTTCCTCCAGGATTTCTTTATGCGTATACGAGCAAACATAAACAACTTGAGTCTTTCATCATTTCATCTTTTTAGACAATGGTAGCATAATTATAGTACCGCTCTGTATTTAGCCTTTTCCCTCTATTGTATAAACTTGTCAAGTGGAAGTCTTTACAGATTAGTAAATGAAGAGCTTTACTATGTTTTAAATAGCTGCATGAACATATCACAATTCACATTATAATTTATTTATGTCTCAACTGGTGAGTGTTAAAGTTGTTCCTAAGCCTTTACTAGAGCTGCAGTGAATAAATATCCATGTAGCTACACTTGTTTTTAATTAATTAATATAAACTGATACTTAATTTTCCTTTTTTTTTTTGGTGCTGGAGATTGGGCCCAGGGCTTCATGCCTGCTAGGCCAGCGCCCTGCAGCCCAGCTCCACACTCACTGTCTTTACCCGCACAGTTCTTTAGCTCAGAGCCTCCCCGGTGTTCTCCACTGCCGTTTAAAAGTCAGGCGTTTGTGCTGCTGCAGTGGAAGCAGTGGTGTGTTATCTCTGGTGTGAGTCAGATTTCTTTTCAGTGCTGGGCATGGAACTCATTGCTTTCCACTGAGCCCTTTTGTATTTTTTGAGACAAGATCTTGTCTGGTCACCGGGTTACACAGGGTGGACTGCAGCTTGGGGCCCTCGTACCTCAGCCCCCAGCAGGCAGCATGCCCGGGATGCGAGTGTGTGCCTCTCTGCCCACTGCCCGGTCTTTTCCTGTGTCTACAGATGGGCTCTTGTTAGCTTTTGAAGTTGCCAAGGCAAGGGTCAATACATTTAATTTAATAATTGAACACTGAATTTTCTACCTGCTTCTACCATTTGTATCAAAGTAAGTGTTTTATGGTCTGGATGGGAAAAAAAGAGCAAAGATTTGTTTTAAGTTTTACTTTCCGGGAAGTCTGCCGTTAAGTTCTGAATTTCTTTTGTCCGTTTTTTGCCTTTTGAAATGGAGTCTCACTATGTGGTTCAGGCCAACCTTAAATTGGAGGGTGATCCTCCTTCCTCAGCCTCTTGGGTGCTGGAATTGCAGGCATGCGCCACCATGCCTAATGGCCTGAGTTTCATCAAGAGCACAGGGATCTACTATCCACCTCACCTCCCCATCTAGGGTGGAAGTGGTGGCCTTTTTCCACCAGTGCATTCTCCCTGGGACAGTTTGCTCATTCTGAAAATCTGGCTTTCAGAATGCTGCTTTCCCAAAATAGACTAATTATGGTGATTCAAATGGCTTTACACGGTGGAATTTAGGCAGCATGCAATTAGAGGCTTGCTAAATGCCTACAAAATGCAGTTCTGCCTAATTTCATTACTGTCTCTTTTGATTAGAGTCTGATTACTTTCAACCCTAATTTCCCAGCCCACCTGGGTCTCAGCACTGGACTAACAGCCGAATCAGCTGTGTTAGGGGAATCGTGCTTGTTGCCAGTACCCAGCCATACATCAGAATTATTGGTTAGGTTTCTAGATCCATAAGGGCAGAAATCCAGGTCCTAAGATCAGAACTTCTGGAGTTATTTCTGACCATGCATTTACATTATCATCAGGACTCCCAGACACATTGTTCGGGGCCATGGGAAAGCACACAAGAACCACCATGCTTTGCTCAGGAAGGGGTGTACACAGAGGAGCTGAACGCGGCAGGGAGTGTGAGGACTACTGTTCGTAAAGCCGAGTGCCCTGGCTTTGAGCTAAAGCCGCCCTGAGCAAGGTGTACTCGCAGTAATTTGTGGAAGATGCCATATGAACTCTAAGCAGTACAGACTCCTATGTCCAGAACTGCCTTTTTTGTTCATTCTGTTTGCGCCATAACAAGAAGAATATTGTAGGTAGGAGTCCAATTGGCTGAATTCTATGCTGTGCGGTGAGTTGTGTTGTCATGGTTGATACTATTTTAATAACACCCGGCCCTTTGTCTACATATTACCCCACCCTCCCCAAAACAAGGCTTTTACTTCCTGGTCTAAAGTAGCCGTTTGTCCTCCTGCCATCCTCTCCACATTCTGCGCAGAAAGCGGAGACCTGGAAGAAGAATTGTATCTCTCCTTTCTTCAGAGAACCTTCCCAAGAAGTTCTGTGCTCCTTTCATTTACAAACTGATGGCCCGGTATAGGGGCCAGGAAATGTGTAGGGTTGGCTGGTTCCTGAGGGCTCCGTGTGTGCTGTCACATCACCCGCACTGCTGCCCCTGGGCCCAGAGAGCTCGGGATCAGGCTGGGTTCCCCAGCCAGGAAGTGGTGGGGTTGAGATCAGAACCCAGGCCGCCGACACCACCTGACACTTTGTCTTCTTTGCTTCTAGCAAGGTAGGACTGCGCTGGTGGTGGCTGCCAGGGGCAGCCACTGTCTCGTTGTGGACATGCTCATCAACGGTACCAGGCCTGGAGAGAGGTGAGGCGGCCAGTGGAGTGGTGGGGCCTCTATGTGGGGTGAGCTCTGTCTCTGCTTCTCCATGGCCTCTTACATCAATTCCTGGACGGTGCTTGGCTGTGCCCTCTCCCCACACTGCCCGGCCACCTCTGCTGCCACGAGGCTGGATCCAGGGCTAGACAGGCTCTTTGTCCAGGTCCCGCAGCCTCCGACACACCCTTGGGCTGGCTTCTGAGCATGTGTCCATGTCACCGTCACAAAACTGTATTCATTGGAGAACACAACCAAATTGTTTCTCAGTCAATTTTTGCTTCTCTTTCATTGTTATTTCTTCTGGTATCTGCCACTTTTGTGGCTTCTATCCAGACAGCCATTCCTATCCCCCTAGATCCCTGTCTGTGCCCCCAGGCAAGTTTCAGCTTGGGACCACCAGCCACAGGGCACCAGTCCCGGAACTCAGGTCCCCGCCACTCGGGTGTCTGCTGTCTTGCTGTCCCTCTGCCCCATTCTGGAGAATTTCTTTTAAACCTTTAAAACAAAAGGCTTTCATATCTTCTTCTCTGTTTAATTGGCTCAGTACTGTGGACCCATAGTCACAGGTTGCTTAGCAACAAGGACCTGCTCCATGAGCGGTGTCGACAGCCAGGTGTCTAATTGCTGTGTAACATCACAGTACACTTGCACCACTGCTGAGCCACAGCCCTGCCCCTGCCCCACTGCAAGGCACAGCCACAGTCACACGTGCCCTTCACTGACCAGCGCTGCCCTGCAGCCGGGGGCCATGCGTGGAGTCTTGGGAAAGCTTCACCGTCCTCCTCACAGCTTTAGAGATTGTTTTGCCTGTAAAACTACGTTTTCTTAATAATTGTAACTCGATCTCTCTCCTTTTCCTCCCTTCCTTTTGTTGCATGGTCCTTCCTCCTCCTCCTCCTCTTCCTTTTTTGTTGTTTGTCTTTCGGTACTGGGAGTTAACTCATGACCTCACTCTTCTAGGCAGGCGCTTGTGCCACTGAGCTAATCCCCAGCCCTCCTCCGCCTTTTTCTCTCTTTATGCTCACTTTCTAAAACTATTGCTACATTGTATTGAAGGTGACTTGATTAAGCTCCACCTTTTTCTCTTCCTTTTCAATTTGTTGCCTCTGCATTTTCTCTGAAACTAGAAATAGTCACTGGCTCTATTATTATGGTGTGGCAGCTTTCTTAGGTCCTTTTAGATAGATGAGAATCAGAAACTTTTCCAACACATGAATCTTCCCTCTTTTCTAACAAATCTTTAAGATACAAGGATTAGATATGCTTCAAAAACTCTATGTAGTATAGAAATACAGTGGCAGGAGGCCCCCAGAAATGGTAAGAGTTGTTCACTCTGGAGACAGCTGAAGTTCTGAGGTCTGAGGCAGGAGAGAAATTTGTTCCTTTTATCTAGATCTATATCTATATATCTTTATATCTTTTATATGTATATACTTACCAAATGCATTATTGTTTTTAGTCATTTTTGTTCATCAAACAAACTTATATGCTGGCTTAATATAAAATGATTCCTAATTAAAAGATTAATGATATAATTTAAATTTTCTTTCTTATAATCCTTTATCTGTTTACACATACATAACTATCAGCTTTCCAATCTGTCTTGGTTATTTTTATCTTGTGGCTGGAACAAAACACTCAACACCAAAAATGAAGGAAGGACAGGTTTATTTAGCTGTTTGTGGAGGTTTCAGTCCATAATCAGCTGGCTCCAAGGCAAGGTGGTGTGGCACTGGGGCAACACTTCAAGGCAGCAGCCAGAGCAAAAAGGAGGGGCAGAGCAAGCATCTTTACCTCTCTTATAGTGTATGCAGGCCACCTCCCCCAAACCCCCAGAGCAGATATAGCACTCAAAATCCCTGTGCCTTCCTCTTGCTCAGGATGAGGATATTTACAAAGTAAGATCCCTGGCTCCCCGCCGAGTCTCTTAGTTAAACTTTTAAACTTCTCCAGTTGACACAATGTGTGGACCATAACACAATCATTCATCATTAAATTCAGTGATTCAGAGGCAAAAGGACTTCTTAAAATTTGGCTTTTATCTTTTTACTCGCCAATCTGGTTACAGGACTCCATGAGGACAAATGGACTTCCCAGTCCTTCAGAGTTTTGGAAGATAGATGACCTCAGGCTTCCATCCACTGGGTGGGTCTGGGCTTCCCTTCAGAGGCTGAGGTTCTGCCCAGCCCAACCCCAGGACACTAAGGCATGCAAGCTTCCCAGAGACATAGATGCACAGGGCAAAGGTGCACTCCACTCCCTCCTCTCTGCCTGTGGTGTGGGTTTTGTTGGATTCACTGTTGCATCAGAAGGTGGAAGGAGGGGTGCAAGGGAAGGGCCCAGGAGCTCATGCTCTTGGGTCTCCCCGTCTCACCTCATCTCTTAGGGCTTCTTCAGAGCTGGGCACTATGGAAGTAAAGCAGAGACTGACAGGGAGAACACCCCTACTTTACAGTCTCTAAAACAATTACAGGCAACTCACCTTTGCCATTCCTGTCTAACATGGACCCAGGGAAACTTCCAGAAGCCAGAAAAGATGCCAAGCCAAGCCTGGTGCTGTGGGACTCAGCTTGGCTGCAGAAGCTTGAAAGCTGGACACCCGCGCCAGTCCTCCTTGCTCCCTTGTGAACCTCATTTCCTTCCGGCCTGGAGTTGGGCTCCTGGCTTCTCTCCTCACCCCAGACAGGGGTGGACTGAGGAACCAGCTCTGGGCTCATTAAGGATGTATCTGACCTGAGCCCCTCTGAGGATTTGGTAGGAGAAACCAAATACTCAACAGAAGAAGGGGAAATGGGCTGTAAGTTAGTGCACTAAAATTGTGAGGCTGTTCTGTTTTCTGGTGTGGGGCTATTCCAGCCAGCAGCACAGACACTGCACCGAGGAACCCCTCATTCCCTGTGTCTGACAGTTGGCACAAGCTTCTTATTTCAGAAGCTGTGTCTGGCAAGCAGTGATGCGGTGACAACTGACAGTGGAAAGAGGTGTGTGTACCACCTTACCAGCTGTATCTGAAAAGCTCGTATGCTCAGGTCTAAGGTGGTATGTGGGCCTGTCTGGAATAGCCCAGTACAGTCATATTCAATGTAGGCTCATCCGGAGGCTGCATCGGTGGGCTTCACTGTGACCTTCAAGTAGGACCACAGTCTAGAGACCAGGCACCTCCGCACATTCCTCTGGGACCTGGCGTACTGTCAGCTGAAGGCCACCGAGTGGCAGAGGCTGGCGCACTCTTGGGACTTCACAGATGACCAGATCAGAGCCATCGAGGAGCAGTGGACAGGTGTGTATGGCCTGGGGGTGTCCCTCCTGGACCTTTCTGGTGCTCACAGCAAGCAGGAGAGCCCAGGGGCCTCGGCCTGGGAACAGTTAGTATAGGTCCACAAAGGGATTGGGAACATTGCAGAAAGCTAACACTCCCTGGAGTCTGAAGTGAGCTGAAGTTTGCAGAGGATGAGTACATCCATTGAGAGGTACTGAAAAGGTGGCCTCTGGCCTACAAAGAACTAAAGTTTCTGACTGAGTGGGCACCAGGGAGGCAATTGTAGGGGACGGGAGAAATTAGCCTGGCTTCCCAGTAGGCATAAGCCAGCAGCATGCCTACTGGGAAGCCAGGCTAATTTCTCCCGTCCCCTACAATTGCCCTGGGGTAAATGGACTTGATCTGCAGTCAAAAGGCTCATTATTTAGGTCTCTACTCCAGGAGGGATCCCTTCTACCAGGTCAAGGGGGAAGAGGGTCTTGGAGGATGTGGCCTATCCCATGAGAGACAATGGGGTGCAGAGGAATCTGGGGGGAAGATGACTCCGAGTTATCATGGCTGGCCTCCAGCTGGCAGAATTAGGGAGGCATCTGGGTTCCTTAGTTGTTTTTGTTTTTTGTGATGCTGTGGTTTGAACTCTGGACCATATTCATGGTAGGCAAGTGCTCTACCACTGAACTACATTCCTAGCCCTATTTTATTTTTTATTTTGTCAACACGGGGTGTTGCCAGGTTCTTTAGGCCAGGCTTGAACTTGCCATCTTCCTGCCTCAGCTTCCCAAGTAGCTGGATTACAGTCATGCACTGCCACTGAGCTTGGCTAGCTTTGCTCCTTTAAGATTTGTCGGAAACCTAAGAAACCTAAAGTTTTCGTTAATCCATTCATTAGCTTTAAAACCCTTTTGTTGGCCAAGCTTTCTATTCAGAGCAGTCCCCTCCTGGGGCCAATGTGGCTTCAGGAAGGTTGATTTGCATTTTGTCCCACAATTAGATGGCAGAACCGCAGCTCCATGCACCCAGGCTGCTTCCGTGTGCAATGCAGGCAAACTGCAAACCTCTTACAGTTCATGGAAAGACACAGTTTCACGTGAACACATGGAGCACAGCGTACTGAGCACATGCCATGCTGGCTGGTTTCTGCCAGTTTATTAAGATTTTCTTTTGTAGCTAATTACAGATATAATATTATGTACTCTTCAGGAAACCTGAGATGCCTTTGGGAAAATAAGGTAAGGGGCAGTTCAGTTCTGTCTTTCTGGAGTAGCCTGGGGGTGCAGCTCAGAGGTGGAGCACTTAGCCAGCATAACCAAGGCCCTGGTGCAGTCTCCAATACTGCAAAAGACAAGGAAACCTCAGAACTTTGTGAGGTGCCAAGGAGAGACCTCCACCACATCATCTGTAAGCCATGAGCATCCTTGATGCAGATCATAAGTGTTGGCAGAGGCAAACGCAATCCAATTCTAGCAGTTTGTGGGCACTGAAGAAAAATTACTGTATTTCCAAAAATAAGACCAGATCTTACATTAATTTTTGCTCCAAAAGATGCAGTAAGAATTATTTTCAGGAGATGGCTTATTTTGTCATGTATGGTGATACATTTATCACATACAATAATCTATATTCATTTATTCATGTATGAAAATTATATTTATTCATGTATAAGAATCCATATTTATTCAAATCCTGTCACCCTCCTCTGGAATATCATCATGACTCTCCAGACCCCGGATTCCGCCTGCGTTTCTTGCCACTCCACTTCCTGTGGAGCCATTGGTCCCACTTGTTGGTGGCAGCAGCAGCGCTCTCTTAGACGAGCACTTCCTGTCCGTGCAGCTTAATTTAATACATTAAAGAAGTGTTAACAGAAGACTCGGGATGTGGAGTGGCAACAGACACGGGGACGGTGAGAATGCCCATCCAGAATGCCCATGTCGCTTGCATGGTGTGTGCCTGTAATCCCAGCATGTGTGGAGGCTGAAGCAGGAGACTGCTGCAAGTTTGCGGACAGCCTAGGCCCGATAGTGAGTTCAAACCTGGACTATTCAGTGAGATCCTGGCTCTACACCTGCACCCCTCGAAAAAAGAATGATGGTCCACACAAGTGACAAAAATTTGCAAGCACCAAAATTCAGAAAACATATTTATTTCAAGAATGCATTCAGTATGTCCATTACAACGCAAGGCGCAGTGAACTATGAAGAGTCATGTTAGACACAGTCTGTGCGGCATCCAGGGTGTGTGTTGTGTGCCGTGTCTGTACCTGGTCAGTCAGTCTCGAGTTCATCATTTACTCAGGTGTTTATGTCTCCTCCAGAGGCGCCCGCTGTGTGTATACAAATCATTAAAATTTATTTTATCATGTCAGTGTTAATGCCAGAATTGTTTATATTTAAATATATATGAATATTTTATATTTCAATACATCTATTGTGTTGTGATAGACATGCTGAATGTGGCAATCTGGCTGATGATTTTAACTATGGCTTGTTTTGGGGGTTAGGCTTATATGACGAACATCTTGAAATGTCATGGTAGGTCTTATTTTCCAGTTAGGTCTTATTTTGGAGGGAAATGTGGTGGTTTGTTGACATTGAGAAGGAGCAGAATATTTGCCCTTGCTGGAAAGTGCACTCTTCTTGCATGCAAAGTCCTCTCCCTAGACTCTTGTCCCTCCAACCCTGAGCAGCTCACTTCCTACCAGGCCTCAGAGCTCAGGCCATCCCGCTGCCTGTTTCTGCCAACGGTCCTGTCCTGTGTTTGTCACTGTGGACTCTAGTGGGAGTGACAGTGGCCGCCCTGCTCCCTGTCCTGACGCTTCCTTCAGCGTCTTTCAGGGCCAGGTATCTGGATGTTTGCTCAATGACCTGACCAGGGAGTGCAGACTCGCATAGAAGTGGCTTAGTGGCTTCCTTGGATGCCCAGGCCTGCTGTGCAAGGGTGTGATTTACGGATCCCCTGCAGTGGCAGCCCGAGGGAGCTGGACACACACGCGCGCGCGCGCGCGCGCGCGCACACACACACACACACACACACACACACACACACACACACGGCGCTGGCTCCAGACCACTGAATCGGGAGCTGCATGTTAGTGAGGTGCCCGCTGAACCAGGTGCTTTGAGTCTGTAGTGTAGCTTGCGCTTTGCAGAAGAGCTCCGCGCCTCTCTCAGGTTGTGCTCATTGCCCAGGGCACCAGCATGAGGTTCACCTTGCGTCTCCTGTGCCTGTAGGAAAGAACAGCTTCCACGAGCACGGCCACAGGGCGCTGCTCATCTGGCTGCACGGGCCCTGATGACCCAGCCAGACCCGGACCGACATCTGTATATGGAGCTGGTGCGCGCAGGCTTCTCGGGCCTGGCTGGTGAGTCGCTGCCTCACAGGACAGGAGCTCCTCCTTTGTGGTCCCAACGGTGACAGTGGCGAAGCTGCAGGGCTCCAGCCCTGTTAGCAGCACCCCTTCCCTCCAGCTGTGGCAGAGGCATTCCTTCAGTGGGCGAGCTAGGTGACACGTTTTTGTTTTTTGTTGTTTTGAGACAGGGGGGTCCCCATACAGTTCAGGCTGGCCTTGAACTCACTTTGTAGCCCAGGATGGCCTCGAACTCGAAGTGATCCTCCTGCCTCAGCCTGCTAAGTACAGGAATTACAGGCGTGTGCCACCACACCTGGCTCCCTTCACGTTTTCGCCAGGCGGTATGTGCTGTCTGCCCCTACTGGGCCTTGGGAACACCGTGGGGGATTCCGTGTCTGTCACGTGGGGTGGGGAGGTGCGGTGGGTGGGAAGGCTGAGCCGCCTACTGTGGCAAGGGCTGCGGTGGACAGTAAGGATGCCCGCTCGGCACGCCTGAACTGCCCTGGGACTAGGTACCACAAGCTGGTAGATCTGAAAATGTTACCTGCAGGTGAAGCAGCAAAGGCCAGACGGGCTGTTAGTTTGCCCGCTGAGGTTGCTAACAATCGCTCTGCCTAAAGCACTGATCGCACTGTCAGGAAGGTTCTCTGACAACCTACTGAGTGAGGGGGCCTCCCAGTCCCGCGGAGCACCACCGCGCAGGTGGGGTCTGGGCAGCTCCGCTGTGTCCACCATGGGTCCGGCTGGAGTCGGAAACTTCGGCTCGGCCACGGGGCAGTCTCCACCTCCGCGCCGAGGAGCAGGGACTGGACCCTCGGCCCGCTGCTTCCGCGAGGAGATCAAGACGTCTGTGTTCAGTGATGTGTAGGGTTAGGTGAGCTCCCGAGCCTGGCAGACACACGGCAAGACCTCCAAATGGCAGCTAATCAATAACGTAATCTTACGTTTTCCAGAAAAGATTCGTCAAGTCAGAAGCAAAGCTGGCACAAGCTCCAGGAAATGTGCAACTTCATAAATGCCTAAAGAAATTGTATTTTTTTCCCCTTGGATTTTTTTTTTTTTTTTTTTTTGCGGGGGGCTATGTAGCGGCTGGGCTTGAATTTGTAGCGATCCTCTTGCCTCGGCCTCCGAAGTGCTGGGGTTACAGGTGTGTGCCACCACACCTAGCTCCTCAGAGTTTTCATTTTCGGTACTGTGATAGAACCCAGGGCCTCTTCATTGAGCAGTATCTCCAGCTATGCCTCCCAAAGCAGTTTGAATTTATGGTCCGGCTGTCTCAGCTTCCCAGAGTGCTGGGGTTATAGGCACGCAGTTATATCCACATATTTACTTTTTTTACTCAGCACTTTTGGTTCTTTTAAATGCAGGTCCTTACTGCCACACATGTCCTCCAGAAGTGTCGATTTTCCTCTAACCCCTGAGATGGCAGGAAAGGCGCTCTACAGAGAATGAAGGGTTAACAGTACGATACTTCCAGCTGCCACAGTTACATGTTTTTTTGCTTAAGGGAAGTTACATGTTGACTTTCCTATTTCTGCCACTTGTTACAACACACATGACAGCATAATCCAGGAGGATTTTGTAGGTCTTGTTTAAAACAACTGCCTGTGGGAACAGAGGTTTTGGGATGTATGGTTTGAAACTGGTTTTGTAGCTTGCTAGGTGTGACCTGTGGGCATGTTAATATTATTTAAATTCTTAGGTCTTGTTTCCTTCTCTATTAATCAGGGTAATGTCTGTGCCTTAGGGTGGGGTGGGGGTCCCGTGGGACACCTGACTTCATGCCCCTACTGTGGAAATCATGAACTGGGGTCTCTTCCTCAGCAGGAGAAACCAGCTTGCAAATTTAGCCATTAGCAGCTTTAAACCTCATGTAAGTGTGACAGTGCGACATACTACTTAGAAAAGACAAGCAGTGAGTGTATCTACAAATTTCTTTCATCTCTTGATGTAATTACAGGCAATTTTTAAAATTTTCTTTGTATCCTTTGGTTATCCCAATTTTTTCTGCAGTGAACGTGCAGGATTTCTGTAATGTTAAGGAAGTTGTGAAGTAAATGTGAAATCAAGTAGCATTTGTGTCACTTTCTGTGCACCGACTCATACTTCATGGCTCCCCATTCCTGAAGTCTGGGTCTAAAATGACAAGGCTGGTAGGAAAATCCTGAGCAGTTTCAGTCCAGCATTATTATCCTGAATTTATAGTTCACATCATTGTCATACCGATTGTCTCAGTGCTAGCAATGTATAAAGCAGGAAATGTATTCACATTATTCCAAAGAGTTTTAAAAGATATTGAGTAGGGGCTGGGGATTTAGCTCTGTGGCATAAGTGCCTGCCTTGCAAGCGTGCAGTTGTGAGTTCGATCCCCGGTACTGATAAAAAAAATAAATAAATAAAATAAAAGGTATTGAGTGAAAAATCTAGCCTCCCTCTATTCTTCGGCATGGCCAGTTTTTGCTGATCATGCTAACTCCACTTCGAAAGTTGAGTAATAAATCTCTTTATATACAAATACATGGTCTTTTAAATTTTTATTTTAAAATTTTATTTTTGATCTTTTAAAACTATTATATAGTCTAAGTTGGCTTTGAACTCATGGTGATCCTCCTTCCTCAGCCTCCCAGTACTGGGATTACGAATGTGCACTACCACGCATGGCTATAAGACATGTTCTTGCTGGTAAAAGTGTTCTAACTGTTGAATTTGTTACCTTAGATCCATATTATTTGATGCTTTCAACATATAATATTTCTAGAGCTTAAAAACTATAAAAATGCTTCTAATAGTCTTCATTATAATACTGTTTGCTTTAAGTTTGTCCACATGGTCTTGGCTTGGACACTGAAAAACATCCTAGTCACAGCCCCTGGCTTATGAGTATCACTTTGTTTCAGGAGTTTAAATCCAGGTCTGGAGTGGAGGAGTCAGGGTATGGTCTGGAGAGGGAGATCCCATGAAGGCAGGATGAAGCGGGCCATCACAGGTTCCTCCGAGTCACTGTTTGGCCTGTGGTGTGCTTGCTACAGACAGGATAGACCAGCAGTCTGGGGTCGGTTCACACAGCAAGGACCAGGCTGGAGAATGGGTCTGTGAGCACAGGGTGTCACTGGGCAGCGGTGGGCAGGACAGGGGATGCTGCCACAGGCAGGGCAAGGCCAGCACCCTGAACAATGTAAGAGGCACCTCAGGTTTCTTAAGAAACAGGCCTGCTGCTTCCAAGACTTAGAAAAGGTCTTGATCACATTGACTTGCTGATATCCTATTACCAGTGTGAGCAGCAAAAAAGATTTCTTCAATTCAGCTCCAGCACAGAATGATACCCTGTTTAAGTCGGGAGAGACTTCAGGTCAGTAAGCCCACCCCTCTCTGTTCTAGGAACCTAGCCAGGTTCTTTGGAATGGTTCTGTTTGGGAGGCAGGGCGTCCTTGTGCATTTCTGGCAGTACCTGACCGCTATGCCTAATCTACTTACTTTCAGGTACTGTGTAAGCACAATGTGAATCAGGTAGGGTCGGCAGGCTGTGCTCTTACTCAGGATGAGGAGCCCGAGGTTCAGGGGGTCTGGCTGGGAGGAGTCGGCCGAGACTAAATGCACTGACAAGGCAGGCCTCTGTCTGCCCATCAGCACTGCCTGGAGGTGTCCTCATCCCTGTTGGCAGTCACCGCACAGCCTCTGCTCAGGCTTCAGGCCTCGGTGTTTCTGTGACCAGGCCGCACAGGACACGTCTGCACAGGGCGTGCACGTACGTTTCAGGACACTTCTGTGCTGCCCTCACGTAAGGCCAGAAAGAGTGTCTGGTGCTGGCATTTCCCTTTATTTTTCATCATTATATAAGAATGACGATAACAAGTCACAAACAGCTGTGATAAAAACATTACAACTATTATTCTTAGTCTTTAGATTTTTAATGTAAAAGTATCTTGGTTTTGGTTTGGTTAGCTTTAACAATGCTTAAAGTAAAATTCCTTCTCAGGTTTTCGAGTAGATTATAGCTAGCTAACATTGGACATGACTTGGCCTTTTAGAAATAATGTACAGGAAACAGGATGTATATACTTTGATGATGATATAATCAATGACAAACTGAACATATTAAAAAGTTTCTTTTTTAATTAAAAAAGTTTTACTTAACTGCTTAAATAAAAATAACATTAAAATAACCTCTACATTTAGTTACAAAGGATGTTACAGTTTGAAACAGTCTCTTACAATTCTGCTAAGATGAACATGACATATCCAGCATGTTCTAACAATATGGAGGTGTTAAAACCTACCGATTTCCAACCCTTGGTGAAACCAGAAGACTTAATGGACTTCACTCTGAATGTATTCACTTTAGTCAACCACTTTTATGGATTGAATGCTGGTGAGAGACTGGGTGTGGGTCGATCTGGTTCCAAGAGACCTGGAAGCTGAGGTATTGCTTTCAGGGTGAATGGTCCGAGGATATTTTGCAGCAGTTGCTTGGGGAATGGTTTGCTGAAAAGATAAAAATGTGCTTAATGATCTCGTAAGATGATTATGCCATCATTTTATCATCATTTAACCGAATACACATTTGTGAAGCATCCAGCAGATACCAGCAATGAGTGAGGTTTAACAGCCATTCAAACAAACAAGATGAAGCCTTTCTCCAAAAGGACCTGAGTGCAGTTGGCCACCCGTGGCGCTCACAATTGAATGTACTGTACTTTGGAGCCATTCCCCAAAAGGACAAGATAGAAAAGGCTTACAGTGGCTAGGCAGAGAAAGGAGCTTTGTAGTGTGAGAGAGACAACCCCCCGGCATCTGCCTCTTGAGCTGAAGAGATGTGCAGCGTCCACTCCTGGAGGACGTGGGAAGGCCCCAGGACCCAGGCTGGTTCTGTTTCAAACCAGAGCAAAGCTGAGGCCTTGTACCTCCCCTGGTTTCCCCAAGAGCAGGCAACTCTTTTATGGTGACACACGAGCAGGTTTTTCCACAAGCCTGGTGCTCCCTTACTACGGATTGCAACTTCCTAAGCAGGGAAATAACTAGATGTCCAGGACACACGCTGAGGGAAGGATGTGCCCATAGCAGGTGCCAGGACACAAGCACTGAAGTGTTAAAGCCAGGGCACATCTGACTCAGTCCGTAAGAGATGCAATCCAAAAATACGGTGAATGTTTGAATAAAATATTTTACTATAGTAAACAACAGCGCATTAATCTCCCTCACAAGTTTCCCGAGCTTCAGTTGTGCTGCTTTCTGACACAGTTCTGGAAAGTCTTTTGGGAGTGGTTTTTTTTATTGTTTTGGTATCAGACATCGAACTCACAACCTTGCACTTGCCTCAGTGCTTGTGCCGCTGAGCTAAATCCCGGCCCTTTCGGGAGCGTTTTTAATGGGTGTCGCCATACTCTGAAACGATTCACATGTTTAGGTCAATTTCTATCAAAAACATCAGTGTGCCCACATCCAGCTGTTGACAGGATCTGGTACCACGTGATTTCCAGCTCTTCCTCAAAGCCAAAATGATGTGAAAAGTAAACTTTTTGAATTGATTCAGGACATCAAGGCAGCCATGACAGCATGACTAAGCACACTCACGACAGGACTTCCAGAAGGGCTTCAGAAGGTGGCAAGGACGGTGGGACAGTGTGTTGTAAAAGTGTTATAAGGCGAGTCTTCTGAGGGGGTTGATGTCAATGTGTCTTTTACTGTAATGCATTTAAGAATGTAAGTACTGCACTTTGTGATCAGCCCTGTACACGCTTCATGCACACGTTGGAGTAATGTATGTCAGGCTTTTCTCTCTTATATGCAGTGCAACTTCTACAGCCAGCAGCTGGATGTGTCATCAAGTGCTCAGTCACATGCACACAGAAAAAGAACATGGGATATCTCTAGTCAATTTTACAACACCATGTAAACGCAGGATTATCTCATAACATAAAATCTAAAAACAGAGGCAGAAAGAGAGGAATCCTAAAATAACTCCTCCTTTGCCTCCAAGTTCAGTCTGGCACTGGTGTTTACACCTCTGGTCTCTACTTCAGGTGGGCTTAATTTAAATAATCAACCCAGTCTCCTTGATTTTGTCATCTAGGAACACCTAGTATCCTTAAGGAGAAAAACTTAAAAGTCACACGTTTTTATTAATCCTTTTACGTACTGAGTAGACAGAAATGTTCTGTAATATTGAGGATTTATGAGGATACTGTCTTTTAAAATCAATCCTTGGTTCTCTAGTGCTATGTTCTTGTTACTCTTTTTAGGTTTTACTTTGTGAGGTAACTGTTGATTTCCAGGGTGCTATAAGAAATAAAACAAAGATATTCTACGTTCTTTTTCTAGTAACTTTTAGTAAGTTAACTTTGCTTGTGGTTTTACAGTTTACAAAGTACTTCCATACATCTCTTTAATTTTCACATTATCTTATATAATCCTGAATCCAAAATAGGCGTAGGAGATAAGTATTCTTACCATTTCATTTTACAGATGGCAAAATAGAGGCTGAAACATTTCACTTGATTTGTAAATGTCACAGTCAATGAGGAGCAAACTGAGGCACTAACTCAGGTATTTTTTGCTTATTTCTTCTTTAAATAATATATACCTTTCTATAACAAATTCATAGAACCTAATTTTTTTTAATATGCTGACAATTGTGTTGACAAAAAGAGAACACTTTTTAAAGATGGAGATAAAATGAAAAAAACTATGAACAGCTGGTTTATGAGTGACGGGCTCTGTCTTAAATCATGCATTTTACCATTTGGGGAACCAACACTGATTACTTTTAGTATCAGACCATTTTCCACTGGAAGAAGTGCTATTTCGGAAATCAGTGTTTTGACAGAGGGAAGGCAGGGTGGGCCCCATGTATCGCCCGACTGTACAGAACCATGAGGGCCAGGGTGAGCACCATGCACAGTAGCTGCGGGTCTGGAATTGTCACTGGCGGGTCTGTCAGGCTGCAAACGCTCAGGGAAAATACTTCATCAAATGTAGACTCACCACTGTGACTGGATGATGTTTCTCCACAATGACTGAGCTCATGGGAGGAGAAACGCCCATGATAGCTAAGCTGCTATTAATTCTGTTTTTTGAAGCAAAATCACATCTCCCTGTGATCCGGGCAGTGATTGTTCTCCCAGCTCTCTGCTGTGCTGAGGTCACAACTCTTGGCACATACTAAAACAAACAAGCAAAAACAAATAACCAGTTGGTACCAAACAAATACATTACTTTTGGTAACTCACACAGCACTTCAAATACTTATATATTTAACCAATTTTAATGTGGAAAAACATAAAACTTAAAATAAGACAAAAAGAAAAAGCCAAATGCCCTCAAATACCCAGTAACCTAGTATAAGATTTTAGGAATTTAAGAAAATTAAATTTGAAATGGTGACAGCTTCACAGAAAGTTCAAAGATTGTGTAAGAAGTGTTGTGTAATCTCCCATAACTGAAGTGTAACAGCGACGCTGGGTGACGCTGTGCACATTCCTGTGACTACCGGGCCATCGGGACAGGACAGACCCTGCCTGTGGAGCTTCTTGCGCCATGTGTCCCCTCCCTTCCCCAGCCCCGTCAGCCCATAGCCGATTCATGAGCTTTCATCTTTGGGCATAATTAGCAATATCACTACATAAATTCCTCTTTGTGTCTGCCTTTTTTCTTCTCACTTTATTAATATACCTTTTTCAAGCAATAGTCATGCTGTAATAAGAGGCTTTTCAGTGACCAACCAGTTTGTCTTTCTCAGCTATTTCCCTATTATATATATGATATATTTTTGTGAAGATTCTTTTTTTTCCCCAAAAGCAAATGGTTTTATTATGAAGGCCAGGCCCACTTGGACATCATCTCCAGACACGGAACCACCAAACTGTAACGCTGGGGAGTGGTGGACACCACGCCATGCTGCTGCCCTACTGGAACATGCAGCTCCCGGTAATCTGAACTACAGTGCCGGGAAAGAACTAGAGAGGCAGAGTTAAAATACAGACAGACCATTTATGTGAAGGTGGAGAAAAAAGGGAGAGAGAGAGACAGACAGACAGAGTCAGACAGACACACAGATAGACAGTCAGTTACTCTGGATGAGTAGGGAGTATTTGAAAGGGAAACACACCAACCTTTTTTTGAGTTATTGTTATAGGATATGTTGTAAAAAATGGGATGATCATATCCAAAGGCGCTGACAGCCTTACAGATCTTTTGCTGATGGATGATAAGAAATCAGGAGTAACACATAGGTCTACTCAGTTTTGTTTCTTTTTTCTTTTTCTGGGACAGGCCGGCTTTGTAGCCCAGCCTGGTCTCAAACTCAGAGCAATCTTCTGCCTCGGTCTCCTGGGTGCTGGGATTACAGGCGTGCGCCACCACACCCAGCCTAACTCTTGATCTGCTCCCCATGTTAAAGCCCATTTTTGGTTCTCTACCGAGCTACGTTTACCCACAATGGCTACAGTTGCCTACTGAAAGAAGGAGAGGTGAGCTCTAGGAAGGATGGCCCTGGGAAAGTCAGACTGACAGAAATCTCACATGTTGGGCTGGAGATTTAGCTCAGCGGCATAAGCACCTGCCTTTTAAGTGCGCAGTTGTGAGTTCGATCCCTGGTACCAAAAAAAAAAAAAAAAAAGAAATCTCATGTGTTGAGAGGGCCTGAAGGAAAAGTGCTCAGTGTGGCTCTGCACTTCCTTGGAGTTGGAAAGACTCATAGCTGCACATAAAACTAGCCAGAGATAAAAATGAAGTGATGCCAGGAACAAAAGTCATACTGTAAAGGGAACACTGTCTTGGTACACATTCATGGCTTAGCTATGTGTACACAGTCATCACAAATACCCATCTACTTGGAATGGCTGTATCTAAATATTTATATACAATGTAGGTGTGGGGAGAGACGCTGGGAGGTGACATCATAAGGCCGATGCTTTCATCCACCCAGGAAATCTACAGACACATTATACAGCAGCAAATGTGGCAGTAATGACATGACCATCTTCACTAAGAAAAGATGATAAACAGAACACACAGCTCACAGAGTTTAGAAAGAAAGACTTACAATACTGTTTCTCCCTATAATTCTTATAGAAATTACTTGCCTTTATAAACTAACAACTTTTGGATCTTATGAATCCAAGAAATCAAATGTCAGGCTTTAAAATATTTACAGATGTCTTCATGGACTAAACTCATGTTTCTGACTGAGGAAAGCTTTCTGATTTTTTTTATTATAAAGCTAAATACAAAGAAGATTTTATAATTAATGAAGTTTTTGTTTGCTTTTGTTTTGTGGGCAATGGGGATTGAACCCAGAGCCTTACACATATTCTATTTTCCTCAGCCCCTAATGAAGATTCTTTAAAACTGTTTTGAAATACAAAATTAATGGCTGACAAAAAAATTCTTTGCTAGCGATTGAAACCTGAAGCACACCTGGGCCTGTGCCCTCATCCTGCTTAGCCACCAGCAGGTCCTTTACATCCCCTTCCAAGCCACTCTTCTGGGGGAGTCATGCGGACGGCCAGTGTGGGGCCACTGTGGGTGGCAAAACATCCACTCAGCATGGGCCCGCAGCCCAGCTGAGAGCTGCTTTAGATGCTTCAGTAAGGAGAAAATATACACTGCCATGAAAAAGAACTTTAAAAAAAACCTCATTTGAACTGAACAGAAGCTGTCTTAAATGGGACTTGTGTATTTACCAAGTCAGCTGCTTACTGTCAGAGCGTTTATTACCTGTACTTGCTAATAATACTTATGCAATATAGCCAAAATTGTGTAAGCTCACAACAGTTATTTAAAAAAAAAATCACTATGCACATTTTAGTAATATATGAGATGTTATGGGGAAAATTCCTGCTAATGGGAAGAAGGAAAAAATATCTAACAGGTTTTTATAATCAGGTAGCTTGGCAAGCTTTATTCATGCTATACTTTACTGAAACCAACTCTCGGAAACAGCAAATACATCAAGGGTGGCTGCCCATCAAAAATGGCAAGTTGATGTACATGTTTTAGGGTAAAATAGTAAGGATATGTACACCATTTAAAACATCATTCTTTGTTTTAGCTGAAGTTTTGGGCAAATGACCACTTACTGGTGCCAATTGTGTTACAGCTCATTAAATTTATCAGCGTACTAGGCTTTGAAGATTCTAGCATTTTCCCAATTTCTCTTGGTAGCCGTATCAACATAAACAACAAAATCACAAGGAATGGAAAACGTTTGACTGCTCGTAGGAACACGTGACATATTAAAAACCTCCTTATTCGCATCTTAGTAGATGAAAGGGAGATAACATGCATTTGGGTGGGAAAACAGAACTCTGAGGTCAGTGTCAAAAGTGGAATTCTGACTCTAACAGTTACTAATTGTAACTGTCCATAAGCAAGTTACTCTAAGCCTCAATCACTTCATTTGTGAAATCTAGGAAGCATTACCAACTGCATAATGATACCTTATCACATTTCATTCTGGTAAGGAGAAAAACTAGAAAAGAAGTCATACTAACTAGCTAGTTCTATTACGGAGCTTTAAAATCCAATTGAAACTCTCTCTCACAATATTCTAGTTAGAAAGAAAGAGCACTACGCCACCTATCGTTCATCCTTGGGAGCTGCAGCGTATTTGCCCACACACCTGCCTAACCTATTTTTTTTGAAAAATGTCTTCCACCATGAAATTCTGACATTTTCTTTAACATACTGAGGGTAAGAAAAGAAAAGAATTTTACAGATGATTATATTATTTAATTAGCATAGCAGCCTACACTCCAGTTATTTTCAATTCTCTGAACTTTCTGCACATACTTCTTTTAGCTACTAGAAATAACAAGGAAGAAAGTTCTAAATGTTCATAGAAGCCTTTGTGATTACAAAGAAGATAAACATAACGAGGTTGGGTCACAAATCTTACCTTCCCTCTTCCCTACAATGACTGGCTTCACACTAAGCCGACTAATGAATGTTTGTTCTTTTGTTATTATAGTTCTTTTAAAAAACAACGCAAGGCATATTTGAGGTGAACTCGTGTGTTTTAATTATAAGAAAATTAGCATTATACTTACAGAGAGATTAACTTGTGATTCTTCTTTCTCTAGCCCTAGAGGCTGCACTCACATGGAGGAAATTGAGCAACTGTTTTTGAAGAGGTGGGTGGTGTGTGGGGAAGTGTGTGGATGGGGCATGGCTGTATATACTGCTTTAAAAAAATTTTTAATTGTTAATTAATTACTTTTTTGGTATTGGGGACTGAACTCACAACCCTGCGCTTGTCAGGCAGGCACTTAGGCCACTAAGCTAAATCCCTGAGGTTTTTGTTTTTTGAGACAGGCTCTCAGGCTGGCTTTGAACTCACTTTGTAGCCCAGGTTGACTTCAAACTCTGCAGTTCTGCCTCAGCCTCCCAAGTGTTGGGATTACAGCTTATGCCACCGCTCCAGGCCACCACTGTTTTCCATGCTTCAAAGAATTCAAAATTACTTCAGGTAGTCAACTTATTTTAAAAAGTTGGCAATAAAAAGGGTGTTGAGCTAGCACTCATTCTTTTCCCTCTGCATATTCAGGTTTACATACAAATGCAGTTATATTGCTATAGTTATATTTTAAGAAGGAAATTCTGAGAAATTTCAGCTGTGTGTATTATCTGCATATGTGTCATGAATGGCAAACCAGAAATTTAAATACACACTGAGATCAAAGCTATAGTATAATACTTCAAAAGTGTAATCATGGAAAATAAACACAGCTGAACATGTGTTAGGGTCTTATTTCTAAATCAAGACTCTCCCACACATTCACATTTCACATTTCTCTTTCTTTAAAAACTTTTTATCGGTACTAGGAATCGAACTCATGACCACACACTTGCAAGGCAGGTGCTTATGCCACTGAGCTAAATCCCCAGCCATTCACATTTCTCTTACTGGCCATGTATATATATAACACACATATTTCAGGTCCAGAAAAAACATGATAAATAGCAAGTCTCAACATATTTTTCTCCTAAGTTAATAGCACTTAAAGGGCAGAAACTGGTGTCAGCTAGCAGCCTACGGATGAGCAGACATCATTGATATAGATGCTGCCCAGGGCCCTGGAGCACCTAAGGTGGCTTTAGCTGTCATCTTTCCTCCAATGTTAGTGGTCAGGAATTGGGAGAATCCCCGACAGAGCTGTATGACACTCCGTGCCTTTGTGCCCGAGCCCTGCCAGAGCAGGCAGGAAGGCCACAGAGTCCTGACAAGCCCACAGAAGCGAGCCTGACAAGCTGGGCTGTGCGAGTTCCTTGTCCCATCCCCTCCAGAGAAACACTGAGAACCACCTGTCAACAGCCCGAGGCCGGGTGCCAGTGAGGGTACGCTTTGTCTAGAGCTCGGTGCATTTCCATTCCAGATGCTTTCCACACATGCGCATGCGCACACACTCACCCTGTGCAGTACCCTGTCCCACGCTCGGTGACGCCAGGGAAAGCTCCTTGTGTCCTCATTCAGTTATGAACTGATAGTTACAACCTCGCCAAAGTGGAGCCACCAGAGCAGTGTCAGCGTGTACATCAAACCCAGGAAGAGGGAGGCAGCTGGCTGAATGGCAAGCATGCAGTTGGAGATCTCTTAACCTCCTAGGTCTTTGAAGACACCAGCTAATTTGCTTCAAAGGAAGAAGTCTATCCTCAATTCGTACTCATATCTAGTTTTCTAAGTTTTTGAAACATGTTAGTGAAAAGTTCTTTATTTTTGTTTATTGCAGCTGTGATAGCACTTCGGAGGTTAGTTTCTCATTACAGATTCATGTTTTAACCGCTTTGTGCACTGAATGTCTTCTGTGGGTTGGCCTAACCACCATGCAGGTATCTTTTTCCACGGAAAACTATTCTGAATTAAAAATAGACAACAGGACTCGAGACATGGCAAAAAGGTGTTGCCTGCCATCCCGTGGCCGTGAGTTGGATCCCTGTTCCACACACGCACAAAAATCAACAAACACCCCCACCACAAAACATCCCATTTACAGACTGGGGTCTGGACTCTTTATAGCACAGCAGTGGCCACAAAGCATACTCACCACTTCCTCAGACACAGCAGCAGCCGCGGTCCCGAGGCCGAGGGTGGAAGTTGGAAGGTGGGCACTCCCAGAGGGCGCGGATGCAGTCCCCGCGGATGTCACGGAGGTGGCGGAGGGCACCGCAGTGGTGCTGGCTGCCCCTGAGGGCGGAGAGGGCAGCAGCTGAGCCGCGAAGGCCGAGGGGTCCAGGTGGACGGTGCGTTCTCTTCCTTGAACACCAGGGCCGCACTCTTCCTTTTTATTGTTAGTGAAATCAGTCCCTATAAATCACAACTTCAGCTCATTAAAATGCTCCCCAGTCAAGATTCTTCTTCCCCAGTAAAAATCTATACCGGTTCCAATATGAGCCTAACAAAAATGTAGATGCTTGTTGTTCAGTGGAGTCCACTCTGCCTTCGGTTAATGCAGTTTCTCATACTAACCAGTTAATGTCACCATTAACCACCAAAGACTTCAGACACTTACTTCAATGTGAAAAAGTAACGCCTTACTCTTATATAAAAGATAAAAACAATTAGCTGTGTATCTGGAACCTCAGCTAAGGGCACCACATCACAGTGATGGTGACACACAGGGGTGCCCAGAGCCTGTGCACCTGGGTCCTTTTGACTTCTTACTGTTCTCCTGGTGAATGGCCATGTATTTGAAGCTTTGGAACTATTTCCTAGTATCACCATACCCCCTTCTTATTTCTATCTATTGTTATAAGCCTAGCTTGACTTTCAGCAAAGAGTAAGAAAACAAGGCACTGTAACCATCATTACTTTTGACACTGTAAAAGAAATGAGTTCTTAAAACTTTTTTACTTTTTATTTATTGTTTTGAACTGTAGTGTCACTATGTTGCCCAGGCTGGTTTTGACTTGTTGGGTCATGTGATCCTCCTGCTTCAGCCTCCCAAGTAGCTGAGACTACAAGAATGTAACACCATGCCAGGCAAGAAATGTGTTCTTGGGCTGGAATGCAGCTTCATGGTAGAGTACAGCTGAGGCCCTGGTTTTGTTTTTTGGTTTTTTTTTTTAAGAGTAGGAAAAGTTCATTGGGGAATTGAAATAGCTCCTGAGAGACATGAGGGGTCTGGCATGAGACGCCACCGAGAGCCTTTGTCAGGAGTATTTGTACAGCAAAGTCACAATGTGAGTACAGTGTGGGTCAAATTATAATCAATTTATAGGATTACAAGTACAAAGCTGCTTAATAATACTGATCCAATAGGTAAGTGAGGTATGTAACAAGGATACATGGCTGGTGTCATTAACCTTGGCTTATCTATGACTTCTAAAACAACCATTTTGGGACGGCATGGGTCCAAGTGCTCTGTATACCTGCCTGGGTATCTGATATATATCTGGGCTCCATGGATTGGGTGGTACTGATTACAGTAGAGTCTCAAGTTTTGCTTATTCTTTAGGGAAGTATGTTAAGTCACAGGCCCTAGGTTTAATGTCCAGCACCCCCTGCGCTCCAAAAGCTTCTTTTATTAGACTATATAAGTCAAAAATAAAGAGCACATCTGTGCATTTAACTGATTGTAGAGACACTTCACACAGCAACTTTCTGTCCTAGCATTAGTATAACCTTGGTTTAAGGATTGAATGGAGTCTGGTATGGTAGCACATGCCCTGGGGATGCTGAAGTCAGAGGGATTGCAAGTTTGAGTCCAGACTGGGCAATGTACCAAGACATCATCTCAAAATTAAAATTCTCAAAGGGCTAGGGATGGAGCTCAGCTCCAAGACAAAGGAGTAAATGGTGTTGGTTTCCAGAAGCAAGGACTGAGGAGTTCTTCTATTTTAGATTTATGTCTCCCTCTGCATTAGAATGTGGTGAGTTTCTGCTTAAGACTCAGGCTCTCTGGTACCAAACAGCAGTAAGAGGGCCTGCAAATTCAATGAGATATTTCACAACACTGAAAGAAGACATTATTTTTAAGTGGTTTTCTGTGTTGTCTTTTCATGCAGAAATTTGGGCTTATGCATTAATTCTTTTCTTAAACTATTTGATACAACACAGTCATAGTTACCTTGCTAACAAAGTTTGATGGTTACAGTGCCTAGACCCTTTGACATCTTCTGATGAAAGGGACTGATTCAATAGAAAATAGCACCACTTTTAATGTGAAGACAAAATAACATATACACACAGGGTTTTAACATTTTTTGATGGAATGCAATGTCTGGCTTTTGGTGGTGGCAGACATTACCACTACAGGACCAATACAGAGTCAGGTCTGGCCATGGCATTCTGTGGGAGAAAGACAGGTGACCCATTTTCGATATGGAGGGCTCATTCATGAGTTTTCTGTTCATGAGAAAACTGGTAGGTTTAACAGCAATTATTACCACTTTAATGGGTTACTGCTTTTCACAGTTATAAAGTATTTTTCTACTGTGCCTAAAATTACTTGAAAAATTGGCAGATATCATTTTAAAGTCTTTTTAATTGCCAAATTCTGCCTTTTTCATAAAAATCTGATTGATAATCCACAAGATTTGAGATTAACACACAACATGAGGCTCATTGGAGACCACAGACAACTGAGAACTGGGACAAACAAAAACAAACAACTATTTGATAGGGCTGGTATATTAAGGTACCTTGCATTATTTGAAAGTGCATTATAAAAAACAATTGTTTTAATGGGAGTAAGGGGGCCAGAAATAATTATTTTTCCTATAAGAATTTAAAAATTACAACAGCTGTCAACACAATGTTATAAAATCTAAATACCATGAAGCATGGCCAGCATTAGATTACATTAGCTTTTGCCTTTGGTAGTTCCACCAACATTATAGTGGTATACACTTCATAATTTTTGCCCTCTTTATCACTCATTGTTATGATAAACAATGCCTCAAGTCACTTAAAACAGTTAGGTTCTCAGAGACTGCATTGGCTATCTATGACAGAAGACTTCAGAGAAAGTCTTTTTTTTTAAATTTTATTTATTTTTTTATCGGTACCAGGGATCGAACTCACGACCGCCTGCTTGCAAGGCAGGTGCTTATGCCGCTGAGCTAAATCCCCAGCCCCTAGAGACAAAGTCTTAAAAGGAATAAAATGAACCATCCTCTGTAAGTGTCAGAATACATTTTCTTCCTATAAATCTTGCTGTGCATATTGGCCCGTAGGAGACATATCTGTATTTGAATTTAAAGTTTAATCTGGTAAACTTACTAAGACAGTAAAATAATTCTAAGTAATTTCATTGCCTTCTTAGGTGAAAGTTTTTTTTTTTTTTTTTAATAATTGAATGTCATTAGTTCTAGTAGGGATTTGTCGCCTATAAAATTCAGTATCTCTTCCAAATAGACAAATCCTCAATTCAGTATATCCACCTGCTGATAATCAGAGCTGAAACAGACTAGCATGTCATTGAGGGCGGAGAGTTGGTTTTTAGTACTGATCTTCAAATAAAAGACTATAATTATAGAAACATGTTCTTATTGGAGAAATCAAATTCTTACTTGAGTACTGGCAAGATAAACAATTCAGTCTTGCAGTTCTACGATTACAAATTTCTAACCTTCATATACGGACCACATACCATGACTACATCTCACAAAACAGTGATGGCGAACCTTTGACACCTTTCAGTGGTAACTAACTGCCTGCTGTGGCACACATGCCATAGATTCACCACCACTGTCACAGAATGATCTGCCCAAACTGTCACCAAAACACACAAGCTTGAAATATTGAATCTCTGCTGGTGCCAAAATATGGGGGCACAACAAGCACAGAGAAGTTATTCACAGGATTGAAATCACTTTAAGGAAACTGTCTCAGGGACAAATAGGCTGAGTCCAAAGAGGACTTCATATGAGGGAACGTGGCAAAGACGATCATGTGTTTGACCTGAGGCTAGGCAGGTGGACTGGAATTATGCTAACAGTTATATCTTATCAGCTATCTGTTAGAGTACAGCTTGTTGTTTAAAGTTCTTTTGCGGATCTCACTGTACAAAGAACCCCTCTGAAGCAGACAAGTGAGGTTTATGTCATCTGCCTTCTCTGGAGAAGGAATCTAAGGCCCTGCTGTACATCGCCACAAAGGTTTCTGGTCATGTGCCCTTCTGAGCCACGCTGACAAAACCACTTCGTGGCTACTCAGACTCTGGCAGTGTAAGAAACATCATGTAGTTCAGGCTGGCCGAACTCACTGTGTAGCTCATGCTGGCCTTGAACTTGCAGTGATCTTCCTGTCTCAGCCCCCAATTGCTGGAGTTACATGCATGAGCCACCACAACTGGCTGAAATGTAGTTAGTTCTAACAGGACTTTTTCTGAAATAAAATTCTTTTATTGACTTCTATAGATAGGCTTTCATTTAGATCTCCCAAAAGTGAGGTCAAGGTCTCTTTTGAATCGGAAGAAAAGCTCTTTCTAAAATGGAAAACCATGAATAGGTAAGATATACTCAGTAAAAAACAAACAGACAAACAAACAAAAAACAAAGCAGTCCGTGGAATTTGGTATTTAGGAAAAAGCAAAAACTAGAAATTTTGTATTTAGAGGCATTAAAATTATTAGTTAAAAGGACCTTAAAATAATGTTCTATATTAAAAGTATTACTTTAACCTGTAGCTTAAATAATTAAAAACTGACAGTTTACCTGATCGGATCTAAGGTAACATAAGTAACTCTGAGCTAATTTGCAGGATAGATTTAAGACTGGATATAACATCATGAAAGTAAACAGCACCTCGAGGAGACATACCTACTGCAGATTAGTATTGTAGACTACTAATCACTCACATTGTCTTACATTCTTTTTTGAAAATAGCAGAGAACCTTGTGTACTAACCTGTATCATTTCTGTTCTGAAACATAGTCATGGCTTCCAGATTTAGTGCACACACCCCCCTCATGAACGCTTTCTTCATGGAATCCTCAAATTGCTCTTTCTCTTGCTGCATTCTCTGAACCTCGGCTTTTGCATTTTCTAAAGCTCCAGATAACTAAAATAAGAATAATTTGGGAAAAAAAAAGAAAAATATTTGGGACAGAGAAAAAGTATCACTGCTAAAAATATCGCCATACTGTGAGGTTATTCTTAAATACTAAAAACAGTTTGCCATATACCTCTTGTGCTATGTAACTTAATCTAGTTGTATCTTATGCCTACTGTCTCCATTAACAATCCATTTTTATCACTAACCATAAAGTCAAGACTCAAGTAGAATTTCACTGAAGATTGTCAGTGTATTTTCTTAATTTTTTGGTCTTTTTGAGATAGGGTTTTGCTATGCAATGCAGGCTGGCCTTGAATTCACTTTGTAAACTAGACTGGTCTGGAACTTATAGCCATCCTCCTGCCTCAGCTTCCTGAGTGCTGGGATAACAAACATGTGCCACCACACCCTGCTTGCTGTCACAAGTGCACTTTTATTATACAAACATATGTCATTTGTACCATAACACTTTTATGTAGGATATTAAACAAAACACATTGATTTACATGAGCCACAGATAATCTTGATCCCTTCAGGAAAAAACAGTTCCTAAAGGTAACAATTAGAGAAGTTTTAGTAGGTGAATGTGAGTTACTAAATTTAAAGTGCAGAGTGGATTCAGGCATAGCCCATTTTCCCCTAGACCAAACCTGCAGGGACTCCATTTCAGCATGTCATCTGAATTGCAGAAAATTATTTGTATTATGAAATGCATTTTTAATATTAAGAATTTAGTGCCATAATAATGAATTTTCCTTTAATATTTATTTTATAAGGGCTACTACATTTTTCAGATGGTTTTAATTACATTTTAGGTCCCAAATATTTTCCCATGGAAACAGTATTAATTTTAAATAATCTCAATTTATGTGTATCTGCTTTATACCAACCTCATGACTATAAATTAACATGAGGACAAAATCTTTTTTAAAAAAAAATTTTTGGCTATATCAACAGCAAAAAGAGAAACCTAATAGTGACCCTACTCGTCTTTCCTATTGCAGAATGGAAAGTGGAATATAAAAGAGAACGTTACCAAAGCAACTTTGGTCTCATAATCATTGGAAATCTGGATGCAGACTTCTTCCGCTCTCGCTTGACAAGCTCGCTCCACCACTTCCTTCCACTGCCTCTGCACGACGGAGCGCCAGCCCTTCCAGACTTTCTTCAGTAATGCTCTCTGGAAGTACTGGTCAGCTAGTTTACCTTCATAAACCTAAATAAAAGTGACAAACAACCTCAAAGCCCAGTGGACCGGTGAATGCATTGGTAGTAATAACAGACATGACGCGGTGCTAAGTGTACACACACGGTCATTCGACCCCCGGGAGCTATGCGGTTCTCTCACTGCAGCTGGGAGGCCAGGCCTAGCAGCAAGAGCCCTGCTGCGGTAACATGTGCGGGAAGGGAAAAGCCAGACCTGCTTCACCCACAGCCTCGTTCCTTCCACCGTGGCTTACCGCAGTTAATCAGGTTAGGGGAAAAACAGAAAACCAAATCAAATTACAACCTTGCCACTTTACCTATACATTTGCATACTGCATAAATATTTAAATAAATATTTATTCTCAATGGTCTTTCAAAGCATGGCATACTCATTTTAAACAACTTGTTTCAACATGAATAAGGTAGATTTTAGCCACTGGGATTAATTACAACATGAGAGCACTAGGAAGCACTTGTGCTAGTTAAGATCTTGAGGGTCAGTGTGTGCCTGGACTGGGAGATGCTGGGAGCTGATTAGATGGGCCAGTGAGGTGCTCATGGTGAATGAACTCTTGGCCGGGAGATTAGCTCACTGGAGGTGTGACCTGCGAAGGTGTGTTCTTATCTGGCCTTTCCCCTTCTGTTCCTGCCTGCTGTGGCTGCATCACAACCCTCTGCCATGGGCATTTCTGCCTCGGAACCAGCTGATCCTGGGTCCAAGCGGAGAGTGAGAGGAAACCTCTTCTCCCTTAACTGTGTCAGTTATTTTTTTTCTAGCATGGAAAGCTGACCAATACAACTTCTTAAGGAGAAATTTTGTTCCATGACAATAGTAACTTTTTCCTACACGTGTACTAATCTCTTGGAAACTAAATGTACAGAAACTACTCCTATACATATGGGTATTGTCTATCCTCTCTCATGTTTTTCTACTTTGATGTTAGTTCACTGTTTTGATATATTGATCCAGTCCTTATTAAACTAAAAGATGTTCAGGTTTAAATTACTCATTTAATTTTTTAAATTCAATTTTTAAATTAAAAAAAAGTCAAATCCGGGCATAGCTTTTTAAATTTTCATGCTAAGGCAAGTCTGTACAACAAACATTCGCAATATTTTATAATGTATGAATACAGGCATATATTATAACGAGGTTGTATGCAGGTGTTTTATTTTTAAGAAAGGGTCTTGCTATGTTGCCAGCTGCCTGTGAACTACTGGACTGAAGCCATTCCCCTGCCTCAGTTTCCTGAGAAGCTTGAACTATAGGTGGATGACAATGCTCTGGCCTGGGTATTTTAAAAGTATAAATAATACATGACATATACGATACACTTAAGATTATAAGTTATTTTTCCATATAAACACACTTGAAGTCAAATTCTAAAGAAGGCTCATTATCAGGGCATTTATGATTCAGGCAGAATCTTTATTAAAACTACAGTGAGGTAGTAAATGTTGTATCATAATATATTTGCCTACAGAATCCAAGGGATTTTTTGCGAAACTATATAAAAATCAAATTCTTCTGCAATAAGAGAAATAACATCATAAATTCATTTTGACTTACTAGAAAACACATCTTTCTTTGGTGTTAACAAGAGTTCTGATAACTGCTCTGTGATAGTTTAGATTAAGAATGCCTCCCCAAATCTCGTGTGTTGAGATGTGGGGATTTTGGAAGGTGACTGAATCACAGTGGGGTACAGCCAACTGACTGTCAGGAGGTAGGGTCTGGCTGCAAAAGCTGCTCACTGGGGTGTGACTGGAAGGACATAGCTCCTTGCCTGGCTCTTTCCTGTTCTGCTTCCTGCCCACCATGACCTGAGCAGCTTTCTTTCACCAAACTCCACCACCACATCCTTCTCACCTTGCAGCGGGCCACCTAGGACTGAATCCTCTAAAACTCACCAGCCCATATAAACATCTCCTTTAAGCTGTGGGTGCAGGGCACTGCGTCTCAGCAACGTCTCAGTGCCTAAACAGGATGCTAAACCTTTCTGAGTTCAGAAGTCTAATACCTGTCTGAGATCTTGTCTTTATTTATACTTACATCCTGTCTGGATTTGACATGGCCAATCCGCCAGTGGAAGAATGTTCGCATCAACTCTATCCTTTCCTTTTGTTTGCTAATGGCATGAGACAAGCTGGAAATCACCTGTAAACAGCAATTAACCCAATTATTGTGATATTACAATAGTAATTGGTAAAGTGATTTTTCTCATATATTAAAAAGTTCTAGAGAAAATAGCTATGAGTCTACCATATTCATCTAGTTAGATTCATTGTTATTAAAAAGACCATAAAAATTCCCCATGTGAAAGCACTACATATTAATAAAGGGAATAAGAGGAAAGAAACGGTCATTGTATACATATCTTGTTAATAACCAATAAAAGATTCTGTATATGAAAATTAACATAGTTAATGGCATTCAATTCAGGAAAATAGTTGTACATCTGAAAGTTTTGCTATATATACAAATTCACTATACTTGTGAGCAGGGCTAGGTTTTAAATAACTTCTAGGCCCTTGTACTTAGTATCTTGGTATAGGAATTTTTCAGTAACTATTTAACGATTTTATGGTTTAAAAATTTTATGAAAGTAAAACAGTAATATTTTGATGTTTCCTCAGAGATTATTTTTGTTCTTAAAAAAGAATGAAAGGCCTTGAAATCCTAAGACAACATTCTTTCTTATGAAGAATTGAATAACTTTAAAATGGTCACATTAAAAATGTATTTAGTGAATTGGACGCATTTACCAAGAGACATTTGTTACTGCTACGCTTTTCAAAAGAGGAAATGGCACACATTAAGATAATTACTATAGTCTATTTCTTTCTTTTTTTAGTACCAGAAATCAAACTTCGCTACCTCACGCTTGCCATATATTCTATTTCTTAAGCTGAATGGCAGTTCACTTTATTCATCTGCATAAATTCAACATGATGTTAAAACATTTAACAATCTTAGAACAGGGCTTTTTGAAGGTATTAGAGAAAATGACTGACATCATTGTCTTATTAGTTAAAAAATAAACCACATAAGATGTGCAGTTTTATACTATATCCTGCAAAAATGAAGTACATGGTTATTTTTATTTATTTATTTATTGGTACTGGGAATTGAACTCAGGACCTTGCACTTGTCAGACAGGCGCTTCTGTTGCTGAGCTACATCCCCAGTCAGTTCATGTATATTTGAAAAACACGGTTTCCACCCAGTTCACTGCAATGCCTGAATGCTATTTCCACAGATACGTAGCTGTGGTGTCGTCCCAGTGCCTCTTCTGTGAATGCCATCTGTCCATCAAGTGCAAAGACTACCTGCTTTGCTCAGGTCTATCAGGAGGTGGAAGACTGGCAGAGACTTGAATGCTAGCCTCAAGTTCTCAAGAGGAGACAATGTGAAACTGGGGCTATTTTCTGTATTTATTTTCAGCCATAAAGAAAGATGTAATTTGAGATACTTAAAATATTCCTTAAAAGGTCAGTTTAAAATGTGGGTATTTCTGGGCGTGGTGGTACACTCCTGTAACTGTAGCACTCAGAAAGCTAAGGCAGGAGGATCATTTGGAGTTTGAGGCCAGGTTGGGTGACATAGTAAGCTCAAGGCCAGTCTCAACTACAGAATAAGATCCTGTCTCAAAAAACCCCCAAACAAAACAAAAATAAAATGTGGGTAATATTTATTTATTCTATGATGTTCTTTAAAGAGCTGGAGGTGGTGAGAAAGATAAAAATCAGTGCACTTGTATTTAACAGACATTTTTTATTTAAAATCTTTTTTTGGTACTGGAAATGGAATTCATGACCTCATACTTACCAGGCAGATGCTGTGCCACTGAGCTATATACCTGGTCCCTGGCAGAAACTCTGAAGCAAAGATAAAATGCCATTACACTGAAGTGTTTAGGAAAAATATATTGTATGGCTAGGCACTCACTTTTCTCTTATTTTCTGATGTGGTTTCCTGTTTGTAGCTTGTAGGAGCTAAATAATATCAGTTCTTAGAACTCATTACTTAGTAAAACATTTATTGAATCTCAATCAAAGAGAGATATAAAGCCAGCCATGAGGGCACATGCCTATAATCCCAGCACTCCAGAGGCTGAGGCAGGAGGGTCGCCTGGGATCTGAGGCAAGCCTGGGCTACAACAAGGAGTTCAAAGCTAGCCTGGAGCATACAGCAAGATCCTGTCTCAAGCAAACAAAGATATAAAAAGAAGACCTCGTCTTTTCTTCCAATGGAAATCTCGAAGGCTTTCTGCAGCTCCTTCAAGTCATTAATCTGGCTGCACAGCTGCTTTACGTGTGCTGCGTGTTTTTCCTTCTCTTTTTTCATCTGCATTCGGTGCCAGTCAATAAAATTAAGTCTCCATTTGCTTAGTTCAGATATAATGTTTGTCTGAAAAATAAATATACAATCTTTAAGTAATTTTTTCTTAAACTGAAATTTAAAAATTTTCTTAAGTCATAGCAAGCAGTTGACAAAACATATTAAAGTCACAACACAAATGATGATGTATGCAAGCTCCACAGTCATGCTTCTTTGGGTTTATGTTTACCATGCCAGGGAACTTAGCTTTTTCCTATTTTAAGTTACTTTGTATAAAATCGTATGTTAAAAAAAATGTTTCAGGTCTCATTCATCCAATCCCTCCGTACAGTCAAGGATTTAAGAATCTACATTAAAATGAACCTGGTAAAAAAAAATTCAGCACTGCAGGCTCGGCTGAGCCATGACTAGGCCATTGTTTACATACAGGTGCTGGCAGAATCAGCAGTTGAAGCCTCCTTATCACATTGGTCACCTTCCAGCAAATGGTTGAGTCTTTACCCTCTGACTGGTATTAGCAACGAGACCAACTGATCATTTCTTTCTTTCTTTCTTTTTTTTTTTTTGTCTTTTTCCTTTTTATCGGTACCAGGGATCGAACTCACGACTGCCTGCTTGCAAGGCAGGCGCTTATGCCACTGAGCTAAATCCCCTGCCCCCAACTGATCATTTCTTATGAGAAGTGAATGACATAAAGGCTAACAGCACAGACCAATTTGAATGGTTTGTCTACACTGCTTCAGTGGACTTCCGCCATTATTGGAAGTGTGAGACTTATTCCAAAAGGAGAAGAATGGGGGAAACTAAGCTAAAAGATTATTCCTAAAATTTATAGGATGGTTTCTAGTCTGGTAGGATCACCTGGGAGCTCAAGAGCAGTGCATCATTTTGGGTCCTGCCTGAGATCTGTTGGGCACCAAGACACACTCTGGTCATATTTCCAGCAGCTGCTACGTACATCACCACAAAAGTCTGAGACTTGGGACTCAACTCAGGAAACTAAATATTTGTTTGTTTATTATTTTCTGTTTCTGTGGTGCTGGAATTTGAAACCAGGCCCTACTGCATGCTAGGTACAATAAGCTACATCCCTAACCTTTCTAAATGTTTTTTCAAGAAAAGCTTTTAGAAAAGAAGAATAAACTATAGACGAGTAAAACTACTGCACTTCATAATAAATTAAACAACTGTAGCTGAATAGCTGCAATACCTTAAGACTGGAACTCCAGAGATCAAGGACATTTTCCATCCTCTGAAGGTTTTCATCAGAAACAAAACAATCACCTATAATTATTTCATGGGCATCTGTATGGGTAGAATTAGTTGCTGCTGAGGAAGAGTCACCTAAATGATGTGAACTGAAAAAATCCATGACTGGGTGGGAAGGCTTCCTTGGTGATAACACCGGCGATGACCCTAGGATAAAAGGAAACTTGAAACATCCAGGCCAAACTAAAAATCCCCAATATGGTAAGGAGCCATATTGAAAGGATACAAAGATATCTGCTAACTCTGGAAGCTGGGAAAAGTAAAGAAAGCACTTTTCAGATACACTTTTATCTGGCTATTTTAAATTTCACTGCTGTCAGTGATTTAGCACTTGCTAGGATGAGATGCCTCCTGTACTCCCCACCACACATCAATGAATGACCCTGTCTCAAACAGGGTGCTTACAGATCCAGGTCCAGCCTGAACTGAAAGGGCTATTGCCACATTATCACATTAGCATTGACCATGTACTCTCTATGTGCCTCGATAAAAATGTTAAAGGGTTACTTCCCATAACACGCACTACCTAAGAAAGAGGTGTTATCATCTGTATTTTAATGATGAGAATGCTGAAGCTCAGAGAGGGCTAAGTAGCTCACCAAGGTCAGAGTGGTGTACACACATCATGATTACTTTACCCTGAAACCTGGGATGGACCTTAGCAGTGCTAAGATTGCACAATATAAATCAGAAGGAACTAGCAATTTAGCCTAACAGACACTCGTGGAAGGCTTCCTCCTGCCTTCACCATGAAGGTGGGAAGCACACGCGTCTCTCCATAGATTCGTACTCATACACGTAAGTCATTGCTCACACAATAGGAAAGTGGGATGAGCCAGAGCCTGAAAGGGGACTGGTATCCATCTCCAAATGGAAAAGCTGGTATTTATCACACATCTGTGCTGGAATTTGACACTTTTCATCATAATTTCTCATATGTTTCACACCTGCTACAGGCTACTAATAACTAAGACTGAAGGACTTTGCTCTTTTCCATACTAAATTGACCAAAACAAGAACTTGTTACTGAAGTGAATTTTCTAAGAATTCTTTGCAAAAGGGGAAATTATTCTAAAATATGCATGTGGGCATAAAAATTATACTGTAAAATCAAGTTTGGCTTATGAAGCCCCATCTATGTGTTCTGAGTATGGCTAAGGATCCACAAAACAAGTCAGAACGATAAAGTATGCACACATTCCTTCTCTGGATCATACCAGTCAGGTCTGTACTTATAAGGAAAGCAGCAGATGCTACTTTTGTTTTTTTGGTCTTTTTGAGGCAGGGTCTCACTACGCAGCTCAGGCTGGTCTTGAGCTCACTTTGTAGCCCAGGTTGGCCTTGAACTCCTAGGGATCCTCCTGCCTTAGACTCCTGAGTGTGCCATTACGCCTGGCTGATGCTGCTTTTTATTTTTTTGGTACCAAGGATTGAACTCACAACCTTGTGCTTACCGGGCAAGCACTTGAGCCATTGAGTCAAATCCCTGGCCATCTATGCTGCTTTTTAATAGCTGGACTTACTTTCTAAAAAAGTTATGTAACTTAAGAACTTGGAAGGAAATTTCAAGTGAGGAAACTAAAAGGTAGAGGCATCTCTTACATAGTCGTTTAAAAGGTTTCGGCATTAAATGATATGAACCACACAATAAGGAATGTATTCCATTTCTATTGTTTAAATTATTCTGTTAAGGAAAAGTTTCAATTTGGTTCTAGTATGATTTCAAAATGTTTTTAACATCTGCTAATCTTTCCTTTCAACAAAGATAAAACAGATTTTAGACTGAATACACGACACTATTTAGGTAAAATTTAATAATTTTGCTTTTATTGTATCTATTTGTATCACTTTCTTACTTAAGTATATATTAGTTTACTGTTACATTCAGTGACAACTGATATAAAGTTTCCTCTTAAAGGAATTTAAACTAAAAATTGAACTTTTTTTTGAGACAGGATCTTAGTATGCAGTTCAGACTGGCCTTGAATTCACTATGTAGTCCAGGCTAGCCTTGTGATCCTTCTGCCTCAGCCTCCCCAGTGCTGGGATTATAGGTGAACACTACCACATCCAGCTTAAAACTGAACATATTTAAAGAAAAACAAATGAAAGAACAGGTGGTATAAAGACAATAAAAATCATTACAAGAGAACACATATGATTGAAAGTCGGTAAATAGTGCACTGATTTTAAATAATTTTTTTGTTTTTTTGTACCAAAGATTGAGCCTAAGGCCTTCACACTGAGCTACATCCCTGGCCTTTTTAATTTTTATTTTGAGATAGCGTCTCTATGTTGTTGGGCTTGAACTTTTGGTCTCTTGTCTCATGTGCCACCACACCTGGCTTAACCTGTTTCAATCATACAATTTTGGAAACTTATAAAATTATTTTAAATATCATTCTCAAATTAGCAATGATAGCATATAAAAATGTTATCAATAAGTAATATGTTGAACACATGCCTCTTATTATATAGATAATATTTATCAAACCAAAGTACTATATATTAATAAAAACAAGTTAAGTAAAGTCATACCATCCGCCCTTGAGTGACTGGAAATATTTAAGTCGCCTCCTTTTGCACCTTCCACTGCAGCTTCTCTTACTACAGAGGTATTTCCTGCTGAAAAGAAAGATTTCTTTTAAAAAATTAAACCACTCTTAAATACAATGCCTAATTATGCATACCTAATTTAACAGGGTATTAGTACATAAGTAAAATTTTAGAGCTAACAATATATAACATCCTGAGGACACAAGGACACTAGGACAAAGGACAGGAAAGAAAAGACAGCTGAAATTAGAAAAGACTTGTTGTACCACTGGGTAGGTAGCCCAATCCTACCCATGAAACATGGGTGAAAGATAATTATCTACTATAGCACTCAGTTTACCCTAAGAGAAGTAAGAGAAACAGTAAAACTGAGAACTTGCTATCTTGTACACGGGGTATTTTCCAGGGGTTTGCTGCTTTTCACTACCTATTATCAAACTATTATTTTTATTATTAATTATTATTATTATTATTACTTTTTGGAACTGGGGATTGAATTCATGACCTCATGTTTGCCAGGAAGGCACTTATGCCATTGAGCTAAATCCCCAGCCTGCTGCAATCACACTAAAGCACTAGGTTCCATCAAAACCCAGGCCTCGCTGCTGCCATTTAAGAACCTCTAGTGAATATACGGCAAAAATGCCACAAGAAAACCTCACAAGAATGGCTGTGTTAGAGGCTAATGTATACTGGGCCAAGCTCAAAAAGTACCCTCCTTAAACAGATGACCACAATATTAAGAATAAAGCCCACAGCCCATTCTAACAAAGTCTACTTATGAGTTGGTATATCTAAACTCATCATATGTTATATGTTTAATTAGAACATAGGCAGACTATAAACAAAGAAATGCTATCTTAGAGCAATGGTCTTAAGTCCCAAATGATGACCTTGGAATGCTGGGGGGCCAGGCTTGGCAAGGAGCCATGAGTTGTGTCCCTGGTAGCAACAGTACTGGGATACTCTTGGCAGGTGGGGAGCAGACAAGCTTTGGCGATCTCCATCAGGGAAAAGCATGCATATCCATAAGGGTATGGGGCATGTATAGGGTAAAATGTGCATTTACTTACTTATATTTTTAAGAGAATGCAGCACTTTGAATTTGCTTAGTAGCAACTGTATATTGAGGTATTCAGTGTAGTCAAAACATGCTCGAGATCACTGATGCAGAATTTATTTATTTTTGGTAGCGGGGATCAAACTTAAGACCTCGGGCTTGCCAGGCAGGCACTTCTGCAGAGCCAAAGCCATGGCTAGACTTTATGAATAAATAAAAGGTTCATATTTCTGAGGATAATAAAATTTGGGTAGAAAATCTTGCCAGAATAAAAATGTTTTAGGGTTCTGGTCCTTTGGTTCTCCTATTTGTTGTTCCAATGCGGTAGGCTGAGAAGCAAGGAGCAATGAAATCCCTCTCTGGAGGTGAAGAACAGGGACTAGAGCAGGGACCTCCAAGAAACCCAGGAGCCTTCTGATTCACAGTAGGCTACGCCACGCCCCAGGTGGTCTACCCTGTGGTAACTGTCCATCATCAGGGCTGTCTGAGGAAGGTACTCCATGCCTTTTGAAAGAAAGCTTATTTACAGTGAGTGTTTGGGATCCTGTGCATAGTAAGAAATGCAGAGGTCAAAAGAGCTATAGTTTCTCATCAATGCAGCTCTCAATTCTGTTACCAACACACTCCACAAAGGGGTCCTTTTTGTACTGAATATCCAACTAGTCCTTTGTGCCCATGTAAACACTGATGACAAAGGACTAGTATGTGATTCATAAAGGTACTGCAGAGATTATCTGAGGACCATCTCTAGTGTTGGGCTTGGCCATCCAGTTTTCAGGACATGCTTGGCATAAAACTGTTCGAATGAGAACTGAGGTACAACATATTCCACAGTGGTTGTTTTCACTTTATTACTCTTTATAAAAGAGTTAAATGAAATTAAAAATCCAGCTCCATATAAAAAGCAATAACATACCAAAATCTAAGATCACGCATATGACACTGATACACACCAATGATTGAGAAGAAATCACTGAACCACAGAGGCATTTTCAGAATTGTAAGTCAGTATTACAGATAAGCCCAAAATAGTATCTTAAAGCAACATATTGAAAAAGAGACATAACCTTGATTGTGAAGAACAACTGCAGTAGGAATTCGAGCATCTGGTGCTTCTCCCTTAGGATGAGATGGCTGTGAAGCACTGGATTCAATATTTGGAGTCACTATAGCGTAACGAAGCAGTTCTTCATACTCTTCCTAGGGAAAATCAATAATCGATATGGTATTACAGTAATTACAATGCTACATATACTCAAGTACTGATTATTTTTGTGAAGGGAATTAATTATCATGATAGAGTCACATGCTCGTCACTGTACAAAAGGTTTGAACACTTTTCCCAAGCTTGAGTCCTCTGAGTGCTTTTTATATAACCAATACCTTTATGGTTAAGTTTGAAGAGGGGAAACTCACAAAAGTTTTCTTATACTTCAGATCAGATTAAGTGAACATTAGACATGCTATTAAAAAGTTGCCATTTTCTTTTTATTATTATAAAAAGAAAAAATAGAATTTCAAAACAAGACAATAGGAGAGTGGGGGTGGGGATTTAGCTCAGCAGCATAAGTGCCTGCCTGGCAAGCGTGAGGTCGTGAGTTCGATTCCCGGTAGCAAAAAAAGAAGATAATAGGAGAGTAACAATAATACAATGCACATTGTTATTCTCAGAGTAGTTACTCAGGTTGTAAGATATAAGCATGAGATACTGTCCAAACAATATTAGCACAAACTTTTCTTTTTAAAATGAACTAGAGAAACTAGCAGTATATCTTAGTTATCTTATACACACACACACACACACACACACACATACACACACACACACATATATATAATATGTATTATATATATTTTTTCCTCTTCTCTTCTTTCCTTTCCCCTACCACAGTTTGTCTTTTCACTTGAACAGTTTCTTCCCAAGTCATTATATCTATGGCACATTTTGGGTCTTGCTTGCTTGTTGAGCTTCTCACATTAGCGAAACTATACGATTTTTATATATGTGGCTCTGATTTATTTCAAAAAGTTACCATTTTCAATCACTGATACAGAGAATCAGAATTTTCTTGATATCCTTTAACTCAAAGAAGCCAATGACATTTAGGCTTATGAGAACCACACTGGCCTTCTGTCACCCTCCGGTTTCAAATGTGCACAGCAAGGCAGCTTAACTGGTTCTGAGAGCTGACTCTGTGGGAAGTGAAAGTCATAATGAGTATATAAAATAAATTATATGGTTGTAGTTCTGCTTTGTTTATACTAGATATTCAAGTTAAATTATTTGAAAAAGAAATAGGTTACGCTATTCTCTGAAAACTGCAAGTCTTAAGGGCAATGAAATATAAAACAGTGACTTGGTTTGAGCTTCAACTTAGGTTTATATATTTAACGTAGATATTTAATGCAAAAAAAATTATGTATAGCAAATATAAACTTCTATATGGTATATGGTATGGTTAAACATTGAAGATAAAGACAGATAATCCAAAGAGGATCTTTTTAAAATTCAATCAACAGACTCCTCTGCATATTGCTATAATTGACTCTTTTTGTTAACAGTGACTCCTTCATGACAATAAACATCTGCGTTTTCAACTGACATTTCCTGACAGAAGATAAAACTCTATATTTTACATTACGATTATCACTAAGGCAGAAGGCTGTTAATAGGAAAAAATCATTTAGAGTATTATAATTAATTTTTGTTTTAATTTTAAATTTCTATGTTGACAAAAGTAACTATAATTCTATAAACATTTAAATTTTTATTCAGTTTTGGATTTCAAGTTGCCATTATTTTATTTTTTTACAAAAACCCAACACATAGGCCCATTGTGCTTATGGTTGGGGAAGGTGTGGGGCAGATGCCTCGCAGATCAGATCGCAGAGAGCTCCGTCAAAGGGGCCACTTGACCAGGCGCTCCCAGCGTGTCCCTGGACGGTCCTGGAACAAGGGTTCCTGTTTTCCCAGACCGAATCCCCTACCCCTCTTCCCAGAAGAGGGATCCCTGCTCAGGGAGCCCTGGCAAGGGCCAGTCCAGACCAAAGCAGCTCTTCTGGGGTACAGAAGCTCAGCGTGTTCTGCTGACACCCTGAGAGGCTATCACACAGGGGGCAGCCCATCTTCAAGGTGAAGAAAACTGGCTAACTGGAAAACAAAGCCTCCTGGGAGCCAAGACTAGGTCACCTGGTGTGACACATGGCAGCCATGGAGACTGTGGGGCAGCATGGCTGCCTGTGGGGCAGGTGTCCCATGCTGAGCAGCATCTCTTTCCCCGGAGCACCAGCTCAAGCCACACACAGTATCCACGTTCATCCTCAAGTGCTAAGGCAAATCCTTTAGCAATAGAGTCTGATAAACCTGTGGCCTGGGGTCCCTCAAGTGAGTGCTCCCAGCTGATCCACATGATGCCACTCTTCTGGGACACTGATGTCATAGCTTCCCTACAGCTCATGGCAATGGTACCCACAAATGACAGAAACACGCAGATTTGGTCCCACAGGAGGGCAGCACACGGTCTGCTCACACAGTCTGCCTCTTCACACAACGCCTCGTTGCATTAGTTTACAAGCTCCCTTAAATTCTTCAAATATGGTACACTTTCTGAACCATATCAGTTTTCCAAATAGTTTGATAAACTTGGGCCATACACAAGGTATTGAATATTTGGTTCTTACAAACCTGAATGTGTGTTGGCCTTACTAAACTAATAAAATACAAAAATTTCATTTAAGTGCTTAACTCTATGGTTAGAAACTGCTAATGGTCCAAGAGCATCTATTTTCTCTCTGTTCCTTTAAGTTAATAAGTTAAAAACTCAGCGTTTAATTCTGAACAAACAGCCCCTCAGCTACGTTGTACAGCCTCCTTGCTGGTAGGTGGGCAGAGACCTGGTCTATGAGATCTGAATGGAAATGATGTGTAAGTACAGGCCTTGATTCCAAGGACACAGCAGAGCAACAGAGGCCAACAGGGGTGGAGTCAGCACTTTCAGAGTAACTTAGGACCACACACCAGCTCAAGCTCTTACTGGAGGGAGAACACATCTTTAAGACACTCACTTCAGTCATTCTTTCTTGGTTTCTGTTAAAGCAGCCAAACCAATACTTTTCCAACAGTCAAGCTAAATTTTTGATTTTGGCAAAGACTATAAAGAAGTATGGCTGTATTTGTGATGCAGACCATAAGGAAGTAACTGGTTAAGAAAAACCCAGGCCCAGGACCCTGGTCCGACAAGATTAACATCCTTCAGAGAAGAAATGTGAGTTTGCTGTTTCCCTCATCATGTGCACATGCTGCACTGTGGAAAAGGTCACATGAAGACAACAGGCAGGACGCTTCTGCAAGCCAAGAGGACAGCCCTGATCAGAAGACATTCTACAGGGCTAGAGCTGGGACTCCTAGACTCCGGCATTGGAAGGAAATCAAGTTTTGCTGTTTAAGCCTCCAGATCTACTGTATTTTGTTAAGACAGTCCAAACAGGGTTACTATCTTGTAGCATCTTCTCCCTCCGTGGTGACTGCACCTAGATTTAGCCCAGCCAGTCCCCTGACAGTGAGCTCATCATTTCCTCTGGCCTTGAGAAGGGAGGGAAGTGGAAGTCAGTGACTTTTATGGGTTTCCTAATCTGACCTCTCTTCCAGGCAAGAAAACTAAAACAAAGAGAATACAAACATCTATTTCAAAATTCCCACCACCGATTACTATCACTTCAGGTAAATAGGTATATATCACTAGTATTCAATGGTTACATGTATTCTTATTTTTAAGAAAGACGTTAAAAATCAGCTATGTAAACAACTATTTTGAAGTTTAGTATACATTTTCATCCTTAACTTTGAAAGTTCACTCTGTAACTAACACACAGACAGAGTGAACTTTCAAAGTTAAGGATCAAAATAAATAATATTGTCTTTCTTGAATATCAAAAATAATCTGTCTTATGTAAATGAGAGTCCTGGAGTAACAACCAATACTTGCAATTTTGCAATTTTGACTGGCTCCAAATAGCTGGACTGCTTTGACCCTGAAATACAGCACAACCCGAATCGCAATCATTTCCGTCAAGGCAATCTGCTGACAGTTTAAGAGTTGCATTCTTTTCTTGACCTCTCTTAAATTCACCGCAGAGATTTATTCCTGCTCTGAGGGCCATGGATCAAACCCAGGGCCTGCACATGCTCAGCAAGCACTCTACCACTGAGCTACACTCCACTTCCAAGATTTACTCTTTTGATTTAAACTTTTGTTTCTTGACAGATGACTGTGTGAGACTTCATATTGTGTGTTTATATTGTGGTATGAATGAGTAAATTAGTTCTTTTTTGAAGAAGTTTGGATGAGTCAGAGATGAAAAATACAGGAAAGCACTGTCCATGGGAGAGGTTCCACCGACAGGGAAAGGTTCTGGTGACACATTTATGATGCAATTCCAGGTTAATTTATAATACGTATTCGGGTTTTAAAATATCTTCACAATTTTATTTTTTTTCTAGATAAGAGTCTTGCTATGTAGTTCAGGCTGGCTCTGAACTCACTATGTAGCCCAGGCTGGCCTCGAACTTATGGCAATCCTCCTCCTGTCTCTGCCTCTTGTGTGCTGGGATTACAGACATGCACCACCATGTCTGATTCTTTCCAATTTTTTAAACCTATAATTTCAATGAAAAGAACTCATTTGTTTCATAAAATATTTTCCTGAACCTTATACTTCAGAGCATCAATGACAGTTTACTTACCTATTAACACAATGTTCGGCTTTTCCCCTCTTAAGTTTTCCCTTTTTAAGTGATATTAACTGTAAAACTTAAAACTATACTGTGTCAGTATTCTCACATTTGAAGTCTACAGAAATTTGAATCTCTACTTTTCATGACAAAACATTTAGAAATGAAAGAAATTAAAAATATTTCACCCAAACAGCACAATTTATCTGATTTATCTGTCAATGCCCAGTCCTGGGCAGTGGATTGTGTTGAATGTTGTAGCAACAGGGACTAGAACCTTGAGTAGAACACAAGGGAGACTTGGGATCTAGAACTTTAGATAGCTTGATATTGTATCAATTTGCATTAAAAATGAAAGTAGCATTCATAAGAGGAAAATGAGAAAATTTCAAGAAACGTTTTTTCTTAAAATTTTCAGCTTTTCTTCTATTTTTAATAGAAGTCCTTGTAAAAGAAGAGAGTTCATGAATATTTTCTAAAGTTAAAACAATGTAAAGTCACTCCCAAAATCTATAGTAATTCCTAAGTTTGGTGTTACTGTATACTGAAAGACTCCATTGTAAATGGAATGAATGAAATATAAAATCCAGGTTTTCTCATAAACTATGACATTTAAAATGAAAAAGAAATTAAATCCAGATGCATCTTCCTACCTGAAGATCTGTAGAGACAGAACTGCCTTGATCGGAGTTATTTTGTACAGCTGGATGTGAATATTTGTCTTCATTTGATGCCATTCTGCACAAATGCTACAAAAGAGTAGACACTAATTTTGGCTTTTTCCTTTGATATTTAAACTAAAATAAAAGCTTTAAAATATATATCAGTACAAAAGTATTCTAATCTGAAAACAACCTTTGTTACATGTTTTGAAAACCCCACTAATTCAATATATTGAGTATCTATAGACAAAAATCACCAGGCAATAAAAATAATCTAATATCAACGAGTTTATAATGGAGTCAAAGGAGCTGATCCAAATACATGAGAGGTAAAAGAAAGATCCCCAGTGGAGCCTGTTGAAGAACGGACTGTGATCACAGATCTCAATCAAGTGTCTGACAAGCTGCATGTTGTGCACTTTCCCAAGAGACAAGGGACCAACAGAGAATGAACAATTTGTGCAGATTCCCTTCTTGGGAAACTTAACCTTTGGGGAATATTATTTTAAGCAAAGCAAGCTTATACAGAACAACAGATTAAAAAACACACAGAGAAAAATTATTCAAAGTTTCAATCACTCCCTCAAAGATTGAAGTATGTAAAAAGACAAATAATGATCATTCAAACTATCTGAATACCAGTTACACATTAAGACAATGGTGGAACTGTAAAATGATGTCCCTGTCTTAAAGGCTTTACAGTCTGAGTATATTATCGTATGAAAAACTGATAGATGGAAAACCTCTCAGACCCTTAAATAGCAGAGATACACAGTAGAGACAGGAGCAGCCACTATTCATGGGATAGGACTGCATATGTGTGAAAAAGTCAGAGGAAGTTCCTACAGAAAAGACAGCCCTGGTAATGAGACCTTAAGATGAACATGTTTCACCTGGAGAGATGGCATGAAGATAAAAGAATGTTCCAGGAGTAGAGGAGCATAATGGCTCTAAGGACAGTATGCAGCTTGGTAAGGCTGAAGCAGAATACAAAGTCAGTCTTTGGTGGCTAAGATGAAATGAAAAGATACAGAGCAGTTACATCATGACTTGCCAATTAAAATTTGGGTCTTTACAGACTACAGAAGTTACTGAAATATTTTAAATAAGTGAGAACAGGATTGAGCTTGTTTTTAAGAAAGATCACTTTGGCAACTCAGAAATAGCCTGGGATACTCAAAAGAAAGAGACCAATGAAGAGGTGAATGCAGTAGTTCAAGAGATTCATGTTCTTTCCGGCAGTCATCCATGAGATAATTGAAGTCCTTACTCTAGAAGTGGCAAGATGTCACTACGAGACAGCTGTGTTATGGTGGCGTAAATGTGTGATCATGATCAATAATTGGTTATGGAGGGAAAGGGAAGAACTGATGGTCTGCAGGTTTCTGGCTTGGATGTCTAGATGGATGACAGTGGTATTCACCATGCAAAGGAATATAGGGAGAAGAGCAGATTCAGATTCAGAGGGAGGACAGTGAGTTCCACATCAGATGTACCAGGCATGAGGTTGCCTCTAGGTGCTGGCATTAAGGCTGCAGGGATGAAGCACAGTCATCCCTCCTGTCTGTGAGTTCTACATCCATGGTCAAAAACACTCCTTGGGGGCTGGGGATTTAGCTCAGCGGCATAAGCGCCTGTCTTGCAAGCAGGCAGTCATGAGTTCGATCCCTGGTACCGATAAAAATGAAAAAGACAAACAAACAAACAAACAAACAAAAACACTCCTTAACAACTGCAGCCATACTGAACATGTAGCCTTTTTTTTCTTGTCATTATTCCCAAATCAATACAGTATAACAATTATTTACCTAATATTTACATTGTATTAGGTATTATAAATAATCTGAAAGTGCTTTATAGTATACCAGAGGATATACATAAGTTTTACACAACTGCTATACCATTTTAAAGGAACATTTAGGGATCTGTAGGAATGTGTGTGGCAACACTGGCTATGCAGGGCACAGCTCCAAGGATGGACAATCACAATGGCTACAATGTGAATGATGATTTTAGAATTAGGCAATGTGGGAGCCCAGTATAGAATAGGATGGAGATCACATTTCAGGAATCATTAGCATAAGTAGATCTGCTGGAAAATAGGGAGGGATGAGATCAGCTATTAAAAAGAGTGCATAAAACATTGTCATCGGGAGGACAAACTGTACACAATATTTTTTAGCATAAATGCACATGTGTATTGTTTTAGAAAGAGGATCTTTAATTTTCAATCTGTATTCAGAGGGGATCATAACCATAACAAAGTGAAATGAGGAGAGAATTAAAGCCATAACCACTAACATAAAAAGGGAAAGAGAAGTCAGCAAAGAAGCCAGAGTCAGAACAGTAGCATCACAAGATTTTGAGAAGTAAATACTTTGTCACACACTAAAGACAGACAAGGATTGCCCTGAATTTAGCAATCAGGATGCTGCAGTGACTTTTGCTTAAACAATTCCGGTGGAAACTGGAAAAGATCTCAATCACACCAGGTTGAAAAATAAAAGATAAGGGAGTTGAAGTAGAAAGGGCAAAATCAATGCCTACTATCAGAATGGAGAGAGATAGGCTGCTGAAAGGAAATTTCAATTTTATGCAGCATACTCTGCACACACAAGTAAATTAAATATCAGTTTTAGTTAAGCCAACTAGGGAGGATAAAATAAGCACTTATCTACAGCAAGGAATAGTGCTTCACTGACTTCAGATTTGCCACTGTGGTCACTCAGTCCATTTGTACTTTCCCTCATAACTTCCTTTAGGATTTGTTTGCAGGCTTTAAAAACTATTTCTTAAATATGGATACCGCACACAACACTGATTTAATTTTTGGAAAAATGTGTTACTTGCCATCTACTCTGATTTATGCTTCCAAGCTATGACAGTATGAACGCAGCATTTATCCCCACTCTCTCAAGGTTCAGAAACAAAGCAGGAAAATGAAGTTTGCCGCAACGGGTGGCAAATGAATACAATTCTATTACATTTTCACTATTCGCTAACCCAAGGTATCAGAGACCACTAGATAAAAAGTTTTGAGTGTCTCTTCCATACCAGAGAGATACATCTTGGAAACCACCAGGCTGACAGGAAGAGGTCTAGGAATTCGAATGTAACCTCTAAGAGGAAGAGTAAATTAATAAAAGTAAACTGACAGCAAGGTGATGACCCCTGTGCCCTGCATCGAGCCCAGCTACGTGAAGGACTGAGACGAGGCGCGACGGCCCCTTCCCAAGCAGGGACTTGGGGCAGGAAAAAGCAGTTCCTTCTTCCCCTTTGCAGTAAGTAAAGACACAGAAGTTCTCGATCCCGTTCCTACCAGCCCTACCTTAATCCAAATCTTTCTTTAACACGTTATTTCGCTCTGTGTTTTAAACGACCAGAACTCTGGCGACAGCACCCGCGGAGCCCGCGGGGAGGACGCCTGGATGTTCTGTTACGATAGCGGGCTCCCGCGCACCTGGGCGATGCCTCAGGCCAGAAGCGGGCTCAGGAGCTTTAAGCCCCGTCTGCCTCTCAGGCCGGGGATGCGGGGCACCGCCACCCACCGTCTCGGCCGTCCTGCAAATCCCGGCTCTCCTCTCTCGTCCGCTCGCCCAGTCGCCACCAGGAACACAGCAAGCCCAGCTGCTACCTTGGCAGCCACCTGACAGTTTCAAACTGCGGAGAACGGCCAAAGACGGCCCTGGGCATTGGCCGCCCGCCTCAGCAATCTGCCATCTTATTGGCCTGCGCGACGGGGGCGGGACTTTGGGCTGAAGCTGGAGAAACCGGAATTAAGAGGTTTAAGAGAGCCCCTCCTACTAATTCCACTGACGTCAAGGGGGCGGGATCAGGGAGCTCCCACCCAGCTACCGGAAGAGGCGGGAAGGGGCGGGTCGAGCCCTGCGCTTGTTCAGTTTTGTTCTGCAGCATGCAGGCTACCAGGCGGCTCTAGGGTCAGGTTTGGTGAAGTACTGTTGATTGCCCCGTAGGTGGGTCCGGACCGTGTGCTGTGTCGTTGAGTCATTCCCACAGACTAGGTGTGAGTCCTCGTGTCCTAGTGTGCATAAAAGTCATTTGCATCCACAGACACCCTGCATGAGGATTATTTTTTAAAAAATACAGATTTCAGCCAAGCATAGTGGTGCAAACCTGTAATCCCAGGATTGTAGGAGGCTGAGGCAGGGAGATTGTAAATGGGGAGTTCAGCCCAGACAATTTAGCGACTTAACAAAAGAGACCCTGTCTCAACAAGGGGCAGGGATGGATTGGGGATGTAGCTCATTGAGAAGGCCCTTCAATCGGCAATACTGGAAAAAAAAAAGTATAAATTTCTGACCCACTTGTAAATTTCTTTGGTTTCTATTTTAATTTAATTTATTGCCACACTAGAGGATTGAACTCAGGGTCTTTGCACTGAGCTACATCCTAACTCTAAAATTTTATATTTTATTTTTTATTTTTGAGACAGGGCCTCTGTAAATTTTCCAGGCTGGGCTCGAATTTGCAATCCTGCATCGGGCTCCTATCACTATCACTGGCTGGGAATCCGAATTCTTAACGAATACTGCCAGTGATTCTGATGCAGCATTCTGAGGACCATGCTTTAAGAAATCGGCCTCGGTTTTGCTGATGACAACAAACATACTTCGCTGCCAGGCAGGTCCTTCTGGAGCAGTATTGACCTTACAATCAGATAATACAATTTGGTTCTACCAGATTAAATGAGTTACTGTACCTAAAAGATCTATCACAGACAAAAAATATTGGCCTTTCAGCTTGTATTGTTAAAGCTAAGGGGAGAGGTACATAAGGATCCAGGTGGTAAAGGTTTAAGCCCTGGGTGCCACAATCTGGAAAACAATTAGATCTGGGTGAGTTTTCAGGCTCCCATCTGTTACCTGTTACCTGTGGGTGAGGGTTCGTTTTCATGTAAAAATAAGTGACATAGCCTGGTCTTACCTGCTTACATGGTGGCAAAGCCAGACTTTGTGTTTACAAATAATGAAGAAAACACCAGATGTTTCTTTGGTATGAGCCGTGGTATGTGCGCACGACCCCCACCTCATGCTTTAAAGGATAGGTCCCTATTAATAGATACCAGGTATCCATCCAGACTTTTGCTTCTCTTGGGGGCATAACTCTGTCTACTTTACAATAAATTCTACCTATGCTTGTACTCTGCTGCCTTGGTGTCTTGAATAAATTCTTTCATCAAAGGCGCAGAGGCTAGAGGTTTGTAAGGAATGGTTCCTCACAGCTGTAGGACCTGGCTTCCCAGAGACAATGCTGTGTGTGTGTGTGGGGGGGGGGAGAGAAAGTGCAGAGAAGAGGATTCAGAACTGCGCCTAAATGTTCTCTATCATTGAAAGATTGTGTAGCAAGGGAGGGGCCTGCAGAGGAGATGGAAAGAGAGAGAGACAGAAACAGAGACAGAGAGACAGAGACGGAAGAGGAAGAAGAAGAAGAAGAAGAAGAAGAAGAAGAAGAAGAAGAAGAAGAAGAAGAAGAAGAAGAGAAGAGAAGGAATGTAAGCAGAGGTGGGGGGCCCTTGCAGGGTCTTCATCTAGGTAGAGGCTGCCACAGTGATCCCTACAGAGTTGATTCTTCATAAGCCAGCTCTGTGGGTGTTTTTCTACCTAGACTCAGACTTTCTTCCCTTCTTTTTCTTTTTCAATCAGATTTTATTGGTACATTTTAGATATATGTAAGGATCACATTCATCATAGAGAACTTGTACATGATATAACCTGATTCTTTTTCATATTCCCCTACCCTGCCTTCAATCTCTCCTCCCTTCCCCATTTACAAAAGCTTTGTTTTCATGTTTTCCTTCTTTTCTCATTTTTTTTTACTTTTTCCTTCTTTCCTATCCCCTCCCCAACCTTTGTTCCCTCCCCATTTAAACATTTTCTTTCTATTTCACAGTACCTATTATACATTTTTGTCCTTATTTACACTTTTGGTTTCTCACACCAGAGAAACAATTCAGTGTTTGCACATGTGTGTTCAATTTATTTCACTCAGGAGTATGGTCTTTAGCTGCATCCATTTTTCTAGAAATATCTCTGACATGTCCTTCTTAATGGTAGAGTAGTACTCTATTGTATAAAAAACATCTTTATCCATTTATCAGTTGATGGACATTTGGTCTTTCCAAGATTTGGCTATTACAAACTGTACCACTATAACCATGGGTGTGTATATATCTCTATGATATGACTTCCCTTCCTTTTTATCTCACTCCTCAATTCAGAATTATTTGCCAGTATCTCGCCCTTTATGCTAGACTTTATTTCTCCAGGTTACAAGCTGCTGACACAGTGATTTATACCCCACAGGGGACAGAGGTGAAACCTCTGGAGCTGTTCTTGTTCTCCGTGGACTTTTGAACACTGACCTCCTGGAAACAATCCTCTGGTTTTTCCAAGTCAGAAGTGACTTGATGGTAAAAACCAACTTTGGGCAAGAAAGTGTGCAAAGACTTTGGTGATTTGTTTTTCACAGGTAGTTCACAGTGCACATCCCAAAGTGGAACTTCTGCAGTTGACTACAGTCTGTTCGGAATTGCTCTGCACACTGACAGCTGAAATGACCAACTTGCCCTACACACTTAACTGAGCAGAGGGACACTCAGTCCCCCAGGCAGGAACACAGTGTAAATGGCAGAAGTCATCCACACAGTGGTCTATACAGGCAGCAGCTCACCCACCACTTTGCACTGGTTTAAGAGCTTTTTGATTCTTTGCTTGTTTTTCAAGTTATAAACAGTATTTTGATTCTTTGCTTGTTTTTGCTACACAGCTCCTCCTGGTCTTTTATCCCAGAATCAAGTTCATTTCTTGGCTCTCCTTGTCATCAGCCTTCTGTTGTTCCTAATAATAAAGGTGCTTTCTTAAACCCCTCCGTGAGTACTTTCTACCCATGTAACTATTTCCTTACCCTTAGCATTTCTTTCTCCTGATAAAAAAATCTAGTACTTGCTGTGAGAAGCAGGATTAATTAATTTTCAGAGAACAATGTTACTGAGTCTCATGGATGTTTTGAGGAGTATGCTGCTGTTTGTATCTTTAATTGCTAGTGCTTCTCAGAGTGGGTTGCAGAAGAGGAGTATTTGGCTCAATGTAAGAATCTCTGTAATTCTAAACTATAACACTTCTTTTTCCCCCTCTCCTTTTTTGCTCTTTCTTTTCTTATTTGGATGGAGGGACGAGAAGAGAGTCTAGTTTCCATATTCTAAAAACACTGGTATTGTGGTAGCACTTGTATGTCTCCTTGGTCATACCATCTAAATAAAATTATTTTCTATTTCCTTGTGTATGAGGAATCATGCTAATCAATATGCCTTCTATTCATGAACATGTTCCAAAGTTCCATTGTAAATCTGTTGTTTATAACTTGAAATGAATTTTCATACAGAAAAGTGAAAATGTTGTAACTCCAGGGGCAGCTTAGTTATGAGACCATGCTAAGATTGAAATATTGCTCACAATCAGTAGAGAAAAGGCAGAATACAGTGTTGGTGCAAGCTAGGAGAGTTGATGAGAAGAAGAAATAACACAGTAAGAAAGATTTTACTGTGTATTTATCTTGAGTAGTGAGGCAAAAGACAAAGGCAATATGGTAGGTGCAGAATATGCTGCTTTATGCAGAGATACAGCAGAGAGTGTATGGCATGCTTAGGGAATTGATGGGCAGATGGCAGGAGAGAGATAGGTAAAGCATGATTAGTGTGAAACACACGCAAATTTCCTGCTGAGATATGTCCTGTGGCTGCCATGCTTCCAACCCCACGAGGTGCTGTATCTGCGGATCTTGCACAAGTTGCTGTATGAGTTGAAATACTGTATTACTTTCACCAAGTACTGTGTTTCCTATTTCAGAATTTGTGGAGGATAGATGACAGGCAACTGGGGTGCATAGGTCCTGAGTTTTGTAGTGTTGCTATCTGAGACCTATTTTAATTTTGGTTAATGGATATACTAATCTCCACTAGCAAGATCTTTAACTGACTTGTTTTAGAGGAAGAAGTGTGGCAGTAAGGAATGGAAAACTCCACTTACATGGCCATGAGTCTGTCCTATAATGCTCAATAAATGAGACTGGCAGAAAAATGAATTACTATCACTGAAGTCACTGACTTTGCTATTTCTGTGAATGTAATGCTTCCAAATAACTTTACAGCTATAAATCTGCACACCCAAGGGCTAAGTAACTCATGGTATTTTCTTTCTCAAGTAATAGACATAGCAATGGTTTTGCTATAACAAATTGAGAGAAAACCTCTAATTACATAGTTTAAACTAGAGTTGCTTATAAATGGATATTAAAATTTTTTAATATATGTCACCAGAAACCTCTTTTAAAGTCATGTAGTTTAAATTATACAGTTGCACAGTGTATTTCAATGCAGGAGAGAAATACTGACCCTGCAATAAATATCTGATCATACATTTGCTGTAAGTCCTTGAAGTAGAAAGCATTTTGGTACAGATCATCTCGACTAATTATATCATCTTCTTAGTTCACTTAATGGCTCTAATCAGGCAAACTACTAGTGGGGTTTGGTCTGAAGTTCATTTTAAAATATATGTGGAGCTTAGCCTTCCAAGATTTTATACTTTTAGACAGAATATTTTCTGTTATCATTGAAATAGCAAGCATTTTTTTTAGTCAAAGTGAAGATTAGTAATTTCATTAAGCACAGTCAAATTTAAAATACCACCAGTATTATTAAGTAAATTCCT